ATGTTGTAGGAAAACTGATTGTGTAATGTTATAGAGATTCGTTTTGTGTGCCGTAATTTTTTTTTGGAAAAAGTTCACCAATACTCCTGTGGTTTGCTTCAAAATCACCTATGTCCCTGTGGTTTTTTTTCTATCACATATGCCCCTGTGATTTGCAAAAGGGTATGTTTTTTATCACTTATGCCCCTGTGATTTTTTATTTTTTACAAAACACAAGGGCATATGTGATAAAAAAAAAATCACAGAGGCATAGATGATTCTGAAGCAAATCACAGGGGCATTGGTGAACTTTTCCCTTTTTTTTGTGTCATGTGAAATGATAAATGCTAACCCCACTTAAAAAATAAGGTTACACTTAAAAACAACACCCTAGACAAGCTCTAAAATATTGACTGTTGTTTTGTCATATTTATATGTAGGAGTGTAAATGGATTAGGCCGGCCTAGCCTATATTAGGTCAGACTTAGCTTATTATAAATAGTAAAATAGAACAGGCCTAGGCTTTTAAAAAACTTATTTAGAAAATAGGCCACAAGCTTTTTTGTACATATCGGGCCTATAAGCCTACAGGATGGCCTAGATTATATTATTTATTTTAAATAATATAAATAAAATAATTATTTTTAATAATTTTGAATAATAAAAAATATTATTTTAGTTATTCTTTTAATTGTTGAATGTTTAATAGGCTTAAACAGGCTTAGGTCAAGGCTTTTATTTTTTAAATATAGGTCATATCATACTTGGAATTTGCGGTTTATACAGGCTAACAGGCCAGGATAGATCCAATGTTTTTTACACAGGGCCTGGCCTATTTGAGCCAAAGCATACCTATTTATACCCCTACTTATAGGTGAACTCTATGAAGAGTAAATAACTACCCCAACTCCCTCCAAGGTTTGTATGATTTTCTGTCTACTCATTTGATTGAAGTAACACATAACTTAGTTCCAAAGAGTTGTTAGAGAAAATGGTGTTGTTGGGTGCATCACTCCGATATAAATTTGACAATGCTCGGATAAAAAAAAATCTAGAAATTAATCTGTAAGAAATTATGTTAGTTCATGGATGTATAGTTTTGTTAACCTATCCAAAATATTTGCTGGTCTTAATACAAAATGTGCAACTTAGCAAGCATGTCCATAATTACCTATCACATCAAGACCAGATTGGTTCTAATTTGAAATTTTAGAACTAATTTTGTCTCCTGCAATTTTATGGAAAGAAAAAAGTGTTCCATGATCTAGCCCTATAGGCTAATATTTTTTTTCCTTTTAATTTAGTAAAGAGGCAGTAGCTCATAAGGCCTTAATGCCTTATAGGCTTTTGTCTGTAACTGTGATTAAAATGTCACTGTTCACACAGTTATTTACCCAAATGTCACGTGGGCAGTGTTATTTTCCAATATGCCACGTGTCCAAGTTCGCTACAGTGGGCAGCGAACTTGTTTTGCTAATGTGACACGTTTCTGGTGGACATCAAGTTCGCTACTAGGAATAGCGAACTAGGTTACAATAAATACCCCTGTCCTCTGACAAGTTGGCAGGACACATGGACAAGTTCGCTGCCAATTCCAACGAACTAGGTGTGCCATATGGCAGCGGCTCACCTAATTCGCTGCAGGGGCCAGCGAAGTAGGTGCCAAGTGGTAGCACACTACTAGTTCACTGCATGGGCCAGCGAACTAGGTGCCATGTGGCAGCATCTCACCTAGTTTGCTACAGGGGAAAGCGAACTATGTGCCAAGTGGCAGCACCTTGCAAGTTCGCTGCATGGGCCAACGAACTAGCTGCCGACAGTTACAGTTCGCTATATGTAATAGCGAACTCAGTGCTATTTATACCCCCTCCCTTCCCCTCCTACCTTCAATTTGTATATCTGCTTTTTTTTTTTTAAAGAACCTCGTTATCTTCTTCTTGTTTCTTGCATTTTGTATTACATATTTGACGACATAATGAGTGAGAGTAGCAATGATTTAATCGCCATTTTATATTACAATGGGAGGAGATATTTTGGACCGAACGGTTAAGTGTTTGAAGGAGATACAAAAATGCTCCGCATAAGCCTCCAATGCAAATATAATGACCTGAAGAAAATAATATACAAGAAGCTAATATTACATCAGGGTCAATCCCTCTCTCGATTGATTGTTAGATGCGCCTCCGATAACCCGGTGCAGTGGGTTGCTGTAGAGGTTGTCAAGGATGAAGATGCAGCGTTAGTAATAAACGCATTTCGACAGCATGGAGAGTCCTCATTCATTGAATTGTATGCGGAACTAAACACTGGCGGACAGTCAAGTAGACAACATTCCCTCCTTGCAGTTACTCGATCGACATTAACAGGGAGCCGCTAGTCAATTCGAAAGATAGGCGCGTGTCACCCCACCACAATCACCCCACTAACAATGCCTTCAGATGTGATTCCTGCCTATGACATGTATGATCCCGCGTGGCGTACGGATAGTTCCGAGGAAGAGGTGGACGAAGGTCTTGTTCCTGACAGTGACTCATCGGATACAGACGTTGATGGTGATTTCGAAAGGGAGCCGTCTAGTGCATTGTGTCAACTGATTCCTTCACTGGCCATTGTCGGAATGCATGACCCATCACCAGTGGCAGGTTAGTTACTTTAATGGGGTTTTAGTTTATTTCAAAAACTATTAATAATGTCATGCATATGGGATTATACAGGGGAGGATACTGTATCGATTTGGTCGCAAATAAGCCATTACACGAATATTAACCGGGAACACCCAGATCAGGAGTGTGATGAAATGCATGAAGCACAAACACCAAATTGGCAGATGGGTCAAGAGCTCTATAAGGACCAAGTGTTTGAGAGCAAGCAGGATGTACAGATGGCAATAAAACAATACTGTATGGCGAATCAACACACAACCGTTGTAGAAAAAAGTGATACGAAAAGGCTGATAATGGTTTTTCAAAATCACAATGACGGTTGTCCATGGAGGATGAGGGCATATCTTAAAAAGGGCGGCAATGAATGGTTTATAGGCATATGGAACAACATCCACACATGTGTTAGTCAATCACTTTCTCAAGATCACAAACAACTAAACTAAAATTTCATTTGTTAATTTATCATTGCTTTCGGGGAGAATATTGATAATTGGTCATGATTTTTGGCTTTGGTACGAATCCATGTGACTCAAAAACACGTAATATGTCTTATTTCTGATAATTGGTCAGGATTTTTGGCTTTGGTACGAATCCATGTGACCCAAAGCTTACCATGTGTTTTGTCTTTGACATGTGGGGAGTAATTTCAATCATAAGTTCAATCCGTGTGATCGTGTATGGCAGCATGTCTAACATTAAGCACACGATCCCGGACATCTGCATCCTCCGACGTGTTCCAGACATGCGTGGAGATGTGTTTCTCCTGCAACGTCAGGAGAGAACGGTCAAAGGGACTTGGGTCGATCACACTCTAGGGCGGGTCCTGATGCTCCATAGATCTATTTATAGAAAAAATTAATTATAGTTACGTCTATATAAATTAAGGGTTCGCTTTTTCTACAGTCAATGTAGATAAATTATCTACATTGAGCCCAAAACGATGTCGTTTTGAGGCGAAAATCAATGTATTTTTGTAATTATAAGTTATTTCAGGGTTATAATAGTATTTTTTGTTATAATTTTTTAATTTTTCAACCCAAAACGACGTCGTTTTGGGAGCGAATGTAGATAACTTATCCACATTCACTTTAGAAACATTAAAGACATAAATTAATATAAGATTATATAAACATGGATTATATCTTAAGGGAAGAAAAAAAGTAAACATCTCTTATTACCTAAGAGACCTAAAATCTAAGTTATTAAAATAAAAACAATTTAACATAATTCAAAATTTTAATTTAACATAAAAAATAATTCACACACAAATATTATAACATTAAAAAAATATAACCTAATGTTTCTTTCTTATAAATAAATAATATCAAATAAATAATATTAAATAATGCATAAATAAAGAAAAATAAAATACTAACTTTATTAACATTAATAAAATAGCTTCTATCCTAGGGTCTAAAAAAATAAAAAAAATTCTTCTAACCTAAGTTTTCTACCTGTAAATAAATAATATCAAACAGTTAATATTATTACATAATGCATAAATAAATAAATATTAAATACTAACTTTAACAACATTAATATACATAGCTTCTATCCTATGGTCTCAAAAAAACAAAAAATTCATATAACCTAAGTTTTCTACCTATAAGTAAATAATATCAAATAATTAATATTATTAAATAATGCATAAATAAATATAAAATACTAACCTTAATAACATTAATATACATACCTTCTATCCTATTGTCTCAATAAACAAATTAATCTTCTAACCTAATGTTTCTGCCTATAAATAAATAAGATCAAACAATTGATATTAAATAATGCATAAATAAAAATATTTAAAATACTAACCTTAATGATGTAGAGAGAGATAGAGAGTCAAAGAAAGTGTAAGTGAGAGAGAAAGAGGAAGAGAGTGAGAGTGAGAGGGAGAGAGGTTTGGTGGGATGGGGAAAGGGGTAGCCGTTAGACCAAGTTCGCTACCCACCCCATCGAAGTTGTTGAATGTCAGACACGTGGCCGAACGATTTTTTTTTAATAGTAGTCAGACGTAGTTCGCTACAATGGGTAGCAAACTCCTCTACATCTGCCATATGGCATGGAAGGTGGACAGGAAGGTGGCATTTATTGTAAACTAGTTCGCTACTCCCAGTAGCGAACATGATGTCGACCAGAAACATGCCACATTAGCAAACCAAATTTGCTTTCTACTGTAGCGAACTTGGACACGTGACATATTGAAAAATAACATTGTTCAAGTGGCAGTTAGGTTAATAATTGCGTGAACAGTAACATTTTGATCATTGTTCCCTTTTGTCTTGGTAAACTTTTTAATCTTGACGACAATATTTACAATATGAAATGTGAATGAGATTTTCTTTTTCTAACTCATACAACATTAGAAAGATCATACTTAAATACTCCACACTCCCAATATATAGTTAGTCTTATGTTTCCTCTCATATTTAAGTTCAATTATCGCGTGCATAGAACTCAAATACAAAATTCCACAAACTTATATGTTATAAATGAAACTATATACTAAAAATTCTGGACGGGCCAGAATAATCGTGTGAACATGAATACGAAGTTCTATCGGTGCTTTTGTCAGAATTGTCTGTCAATAGTGGCCATGGACATTTTAAATCATTGATCTTCTCTTTGCCTGGGAATGGCTTATATGAGGTGTCTTGCTCGCAATTCTCTATCTCATTATCTATTTTTTCAAGCCAGCTTTCAACGTTCGAAGACTGCAAGCTGTTTAAGTCAACTTGTTAATTCAATATCAAGTGGACAAACAAAATAATTTATAATGATAATTCCAACTTGAAGGGTGGGTTATTATAGGGTGAAATTTTAAGATAATAAAGACACGATTGATTTGTAGGGATACATTTTCAGTACTATTCTGGATCAATTCTATGATTTTGCATAATCTAGAAGCAAGTACAAAAGATAACTGACAAATTAAAGAGATAAAAATAGAAGAAGAAAGAAATGGAGAAAAAGGAGGTTACCGGATTTGTTCACGAAGATGTTGTAGGGGAAGGTGGCCAAGTAACCGAGTCCGAACGAGGAAACCGAACATCGCGTCCAGCCGCGCAGTGTTGCAGAGTATGAGCTCGGTGGAGCCCAGCTCCAGCACCCCATTCTCGGAGGGTATGACAACGAAGGTTCGAATCCCAAAGCTGTGGCCCCACTTGGTCCTCTGCCACGTGGAAGCCAATAACTGATCTGTGCCGGTTACCCAAACGGGACTCGAATTGAAGAAAGCGTGTCCGGGCAAGTCCTCTGTGTCGGCGAAGGACTGATCCATCGATATCTTAAAGAACCACTCCTCGTCGCTGACCACTCCTTCGTCCGTGACCGTGACGGTGACAGGCGACCCGAAAATGCTAACCTGCTTAGGGAGGCACTTACACGACGACGCTTTGGGGTTGTAGTGGCCATGGTCGAAATTCAAGAGGGAGCGGTTAGAGGAGGAGGAGGAGGAAGAGCGCCAGAGGATAGCGTAGGTCCAGGTCTCTGTGTCTGTGGTGCCCTCAATCAGCGCCTTAAGGTGGGACCCATGCATCAGCTGAAGACTCGGGGAGAGAATGTTTTCTTCTGTTTTTTTTTTTTTTGCGGCAACCCGTAATCTGCCATTAGGATTTAATTCATATATAATTTGAAGTGCAATTTTTTAAAGTTGAATTTTAAGTTTCTTGCACTGTGTGAACCTTCCAGGAAATGGGAACCTTATTGACCTACTCTTTATATATTGTCGGTAAAGAATATGATTTACCTATGTTAGCCCATAATGCTGGAAGACTATGTATTGAAAATGGGATAAAAACTATGTTAAGAAAATTGGATAAAAACTGCAGTTTAATATAAAATGTAATGAAAATGGAATAAAAAGGTAACAAGAAAATTACTTGAGGTTGATTTAAGTGATATATATATGTCTAAGCAAGATTTTGAGTTCAAATCAGGAAAAAAAAAATCTTTTGAAGAGCTAACCTCACATATAGTGCTCTTAAAATCGGATCCCAATGGTGAATCGCGATTCAACCTGTGCCAGTTTTGAAAAAAAATATTTCCTATATTACAGGATTAATGTGTACCATTTAATATATTTATTATATCATTTAATAAATTATAATATCTACCGTTAGACTAGATTTGAATTTTGGATGATTTGCACTATTTAAAATATTTATTATATAATTAAATATAAAATATAAATTTATATATATATATATATATATATATATATATATATATATTCAAATTCATATTCGAATCATACTATTAAATCAGTAACTCACTTCTTCTTGAATCAGTAACCACTGACCCAGTACCCTACCGAATCTATAAAAAAAAACATTGCTCACATGATATGAATATGAATATTATTGGTATTCTAAAATTGTACCTGTTTGCTGTGGTTTGAAAAGAGCAGAAGCTGAGTCCTCAAACTCCGATGGACGAAAACGCTGTTGAAGTGCAGCAACAAACGTAGTCCAATCCGGGTATGGACCCGCCTGGTATTGACTCCGGAACCAACATGATGCAGGAGAGTCCAAATTAAACGAAACCAATAGAAGTCGTTCAGAATCAGGAATGTGAAAATATTGGAAGTAACGTTCCGCTGCATAAATCCAATCTAAAGGATCTCCCGATCCAAATCTGGGGAATTCCAATTTTACTGATCGGGATCTGGGATGATCTAAATTTGTGAGACGCAGATTCCGCGCAGGGCCTGCTGACCCCAAAATCCCAGCATTAGGATCATTAGTGGTGTTGGAAGGATGACCTTGATTCATAGACAAAACAGCGAGAATTTCTTTATTCTGTTGACGGAACTCTTGACGTATGTCATCCAATCGTTGATTTTGGGAGATTTCCATAGACTCCAAACGGCGATCCATCGTGAGCTCAAAATTGGAAAACTGCTGCTGGAAACCATCGTCACGCTGCTCCATGTATTCCAGCCGGTGAGAAACGTTGCGTAAACGTGTGTTTTCTGCCACGAGTGTCCTAAGCTCAATCAAAGCACCAACGAGAGAGGAGGAGAAGAACTCTTCGGATGGGGTGATGTAAGAAATTGGGCCACTAATCCCAATCAGGCTAGAGTAAAGCGTCAGACAAAAAAAATGATATCCCCTAATTTATATCTAATTTGGAGTGCAATTTTTTCAAGTTGAATTTTAAGTTTCATGCACTCTCTGCGCGTGTGTGTGTGTGTGAACCTTCCAGGAAATGGGAACCACATTCATGTCGGTAAATAATATAGATTTTTAGTTCTTTACACATTACACCTACCTACTCAAATCAAAACACATTAAGTCTCGTCTGTAAATAATAGAAAAAAGTTATTGAGAAAATAAATATATTCACAGTTTCACACAATTGCATTCGCACTCATATTTTATTGGTAACTTTTTTTTATTTTTAATGTGACGTGAATTCATATATTTCTAATTTAAATAGGTATATTATATATTACAACGGTATAAAAAATTCATCGGTGTAACACTTATTTTATCTTTGATGAGTCAATGATTACTATACTGGGACTGAAGATTCCTTTGATTATGATGAACAGGAGTCAAGCGGACCTGTGTTTTGGATTTTAGCTTACTCATTCTTTCTGTTAATTTTGTAATAATTCTATTTAAGAGTGGAATTGCCAGCTTTACTACCCGCGATTTATGTCATCATAGCTTCCCATTGAAAACTTGGCATGTTTTGATCTGTCACGAAATTTGAGTGTCAAAAGAGTAGGAGTTTTGTTTTGACCTGTAACAATAATGGTTTGTTTTCACCTTAACAATGAGCAGAGTTAAGCGACGAGATATTAATAAGAGGAGTGCCAATTGACAAGAGATTCATAAAAACCAAGACCATTATTCAATTCTCAATTCCATTGTCAAAAGTGAATAGGGTATAAAAAAATGAGGCAGGTTAAGTTTACAACTTTTTTACTTATAAATTCTTATAATCTCAATTGTATACTCCGGGAAGTACACATGTGAGTGAACGTACTCCCCGAAATATATAGTTGAATTTGTAAGAGTTTGTAAATAAAAAAGTTGTATATATAATATTTCCCTAAAAAATACCAGCAATCAAAAACAAGTCCAAAAATATTTAACCGAATTTGCAAAAACTAAGTATGCAGTTCTGCCTCTTAGCACCAATGGAGACCAGTACTTGGATAGACTCATCCTATTCCTCATCATCATTCTCCACCAGAATCCTCTTGCACGCTTCATAGCACATGAAAGAGATTCCTGCAGCTGGTACCAACTTCATGCAGCTAGGTCCTAGCCCTTTATACAAACCCTGAATCCCTTCTTGTTCAAGTATGCTTGCAAGGGCATGAATAACATTTTTGTAAACTTGCCTTCCACTGAGTGCTCCCACTTGCATTTGCTTGCGAGCTACTTCAAGTGGGAAAGTAGCACTACTTGAAATAGCACCAGCTGCTGATCCTATCAAAAGGGTTTCAATGTTGCCAATCTTCTCTTGTTTAAAAACTTTTTTGTATGCTTTCCTTAAAGTGTCATAGGCAAAGTAATTGGTCGCAGAATATGGAATAACTCCAATAAGACTGGGAGCGAGGCCTCTATAAAGTTCTGCAGCACCCTCTTCTCGAATTATTTTCATGAATGCATCCAGTAGACCATTATAAACATCTCTCTGCGAAATTACCAATCCATCTTAAATTTTTATCTTTTTTTCTTTGGTATGATGCTAAAAGAGAAATATGGGAAAGCATGAGCAAGTTTTTTTTTATTTGTACACACCTGGATAGTTAATCGAGTCTTGACTAACTCTAGAGGATATGTGCATATAGTTGAACTAACTCCAGCACAAGCACCTGCAATCAATGATGGAGGAAAAGGGAGTTTGGGATGTTCCCCAGGCTTTGGTGAAAGGTTCTTGTTAACTGTATCATAAGCAAATAGCTGCAGAAACAAGTGAAATATATTCAGACTTGAACACTGATAGACAACATAGTTCTGTTCAAAACTTGAAGCATTAATTTCCAACGAAACATTAATAAGAATAAAAGGTTGCTTTTCTCTATCAATGCAAAATTCAATTGCATCCATGATTGTATCCTCTCTGCATAAAAAGAGATAAGAAAGGGAAATGCAAGGTAAAAAATGTAAATTTTTATAGCTTGGAAGTTAGAAGTTTTGAATGAGATTTTATGCTTTTCTTGTCTGAAAACAGCAAATACTCTCTTCAATGCAAAAAAGAGCATTATTACTTATCATGTATGTGGTTTTATTCTATCACTAAATCAAATTAAGGAAGCTCATCATGGTAGGTTAACTTGGAGAACCAGTAACTTGCCTTAAAGGAAAAAATTACATAAGAGACAAAATAAAAGTTACCAAAAATCATGGCCATCAAAAGCAATATTAGCTTCGCCACTTATAAAACTGTTTAAACATCTCAGCTGATGCCCTAAAGGGAAAGATAATCTCATGAAAAGACACCAAACAACATGAAATTCATTTGTTTGCATGATTTGTCTTGACATATTAGAAGATGAATTCACAAGTTAAACAGGCAAATAATAGTGCTACTTGAGGTTTACAGAGCATACATTTCATTAGGGGAAAGTTGCACATTGACCTAAACTGAAGGGTCATTTTATATATTTAACACCCCTACCACCCCGGCCCAACCCCAACCCCCAGGCAAAAGCAAACATACAACGAACAATCACTCAAAAGTTTTTTATCAACATAAATAGGGCGAAATTAAACACTAAAACTGGTACATGATTTAAGTAATACTCAATAAGATCAACGTATTGATCAGCATCAACATCACCTTTATCCCAAACAAATTACTGAATTAGATAGGCTGCTGATGAAGCCAAATAAGAAGCAAAAAAATAAAATCGAGAGAAAAAATAAATAAATGAAAGAGACAAATTAAATAAATTCATTATCAACATAAATTAAGTGAATTTAAACACTAAAGCTGCTATAGGATTTAACAGATCATTCCAGAGGAAGGGATACGAGCACATGATAGCTAAATTAATAACCTTTTAAGTAAGGATAACATAAATAAATTATTGAAAATTACAATCAAATATACTTTGGAAAAAAACAGTTGAAGGTAAGATAATATCATGAAAAGAAATTGTTCTACGAACAGCAGCTAGTTAGATATCAAACCAGATATTTACATTGTGGTAGATACAATATAAAAAAAATCCAGAATTCATAGTCTAAATAATCAGCCGAGATGATTCAATACAGACTACTCAAGAATCACTTAAACACTTTATTCTTTACATTGAAACTGTGAATGGCACTCCTAAAAACAAATCCTACCAATAGAAGTAAGTTCCCCCTGACATTACGAAACACAAAAACCAAGAGTCCAATAAATAAAATAAAAAACCAAAATTTAAGCCAAAACAACAAATACATTGAAGCAATCAAATCAAGTAACACAAAATAATTCAAAAACAAGTTGTGAAACAAAACCATTCAAAGTACATATATATATTATTACCTCAATAGCCTTGCTAGGTGCAACCCGAATGACATTAACAAAATTACCCCTAAACAATCCCTTCCAGCCATCAGTCTTCATGATGTTGTGGAACACCTCACCAGAAGAATGGCCACTACTTCCAACCATCAAATGAGTCCTAATAGTCTCCAAGGGTGCCACAGTGGTACGTGACACTGCCCCAGCAAATGCGCCACTAATCAACCTCCTGAGAGAAGGGTTCCTCACCTTAATCTTCAGCTTTTTAAGGCCACCCCTTTTTTTGCTCCTAACACCTTCTTCGTCCACCACCTCCTCCTCCTCATCAGGAACCCCAAGAATCTTCACTTTCCCCTCTGATTGCACATACTTCACGTATAACTCAGTGCAAGGAATCCTCACCCCACCGTTGCCTTGGTTACCAGAAGAGTTTGGTTGTTGAACACCAAACCCCATTCCCATTTGACCAACGCTTGCAAACAAACCTCCAGGGTGATAATAATACCCCTCTTGATGAACACCCCATTGAGACCCCAAATTCGAAACAGAGAAAAGCCCATCTCTTTTGTCATCAAAAACCTGAATTCCTCTCCTACCCATCAATCACAACCTTATGATAAACCTTTTTTTTTTCTGATGATAAAGGCTTAACAAAAAAAAAAAAACAAATCTTAGACAAATATGGTTTCGGAGGTATTGAGAAAAAGGATCATTCGTTTCAGGGTGAAAGAATCAATATAAACCAAAAAAGAGTATCAGAGAAAATGGAAAAATGCGGAGAACACAAGAAAAAAAACAAAAAAAGAGAGGATTATAAGGGGCGGCTAAGTGAGTGGGAGAGAAAGAGAAAGAGAAAGAGAAAGAGGGGGTTAGGTGAAGGTGAATGAGTTTCTGCGTTCCTCTGTGGTCACTCCTCAACGGTGGGGACTTGGATTTACGTCATACGTTATATATAATATTTGCAATCTTCGCAGGTTTTTGTTTTATTCCTTGGTTGGTGTTGGTGGGTTGGGCTCAGACGTGAAAGAGATCTCTTACTTTTACTTTGACGTCCTTTGATTAAGATGTATGTATGTATGTATATACGTATTTGATGCAATTGAGTACTTTAAGATTTAAAATACATTGATTAAAATAGATTTTTAAAATTATGAATACATAGGTATATGTTGTAAAACATTTTAATTTATGAATGACTTGAGTTTTGAATTTTATAACCATGGTCACTAATGATATAATTATTAATCAATTATGATTTCGTAATCATCATATTAATGAAGCATTAGTTCTCTTATAATTATAATCATATATTGACATTATTTCTATTAGAAAACGGTTGAAGATATTATGTTTAAAATTTAAAATTGAATGAGATAATCGATATGCTATACAAGATAACTAAACTGTCTGGGTTTAGAATCAGAGTTTGATTTAAACTATGATGTATATTTGTACGAATATCTTAAATTTAGATTAACTTTGAAAAGTTTAATTTAGATCAAAATTAAAAAATATATGTTAACAATTTTTTTTTCCTAAAATTATAAAAAAGGATATGAATGATTAATTATAAAATTTTAAATTCTAAAGAAGACAAATTAAGAACATCACGTGTCATTTTAAAGAGGAAAATAAGTTAAAAGGGGTGTATTAGATTGAAATTTTAAAGGATTATTTTTGGATAAAAAAATTCATTCGCATTCAATTAGATTTTTAAAGAATTGAAAAAATTATTAAATTATTACAAAAAAATATATTAAATTATACACAAATATGACGATTTTAAACATATGATTTTAACAAGGAAAAATTGTGTGTCATTTCAAAGGATGTAAAGTTATGTCATTTTAAGTGAAAGAAAGAGATAGATAAAGGCAGAGAGAAAGAGTGGACAAAAAAAATAAAAATGTGAGTCTCATCTCAGGTCACCACCCCAAAAGCTAGTTCAAAGGGTAGGCGTGTCCAAGACCTTATAAACCTCACATTAGTTGCCCATACAACTAATGTGGGACTATATTTCTCAACACGTCCCCTCACACGAGAGCCTATTGGGCTTGAAGGGTGGACAACATACAAGCCCACATACATGTGGAAATTCTACTACAAAGAAAGTGGGAGGTGGTGAGATTTCAAACGCTTTGATACCATGTTAAGAACCTTGAGGTCACCACCCCAAAAGCTAGCTCAAAGGGTGGGAGTGCGCAAGGCCTTGTAAACCTCACATTAGTTGCTCATACAACCAATGTGAGACTATATTTCTCAACACGCTCCCTCACATGAGAACCCACTGGGCTTGAAGGGTGAACAACATACAAGCTCACCTACGTGTGGAAATTCCACTACAAAGAGTGAAATATTTTCCCCTTAAAATGATGTGTAAAACTACAAATCTAAATCCAGTGGTATTCAATCAGGATTTTAAACAAAGAAAAAACAATCTTATGGTATTCAAAAATCTAATGATTTTAGTAGATTTTTTATTAGTGTGGATTTCGTGATACTATTTAGTGAAAAGTATAAATAAGATGTTTCTCTCACAATCTCATCCTAACCCCTAATATTTCTTGATATTTCTCCATTGGAGTGCTTTTTCTTCTCGACTCACTTAAAATCGGATTCCGCCATGGGAGCTCAAAAATAGCAAAATTTTAAGCAATATTCAGCACAAAACAACTCAGTAACAACAACTCAAAAAAATTATAATCTAATCCATCTAAAATATAGTAGATTTTCGAGCAATTTTTTAGTGTTTTTGGAAGTTTAAAAAATAATTTTTCAAATTATGGGTCGCGATTTTTTTGGCACAAAAAAATATAATTTTTGTATTAAAAATAACATAAAACAGTGGAAAAACAAGGGCAACAAAAATCCCTAAATCAATTTTTCTTTTACATCAATGAAACGAGATCGATTTAAAAAAAGATTGAAACTTTTATGATATGAACCCTATGTTTAGTAACAATACATTCGTGAACGAAATTTCTTCGCTCTACGATTTCAAATAATTTTTGTGTCAATAGAATACTAAAAAATTATTTTTCAAAAGTCCCAAAGTAATTTAAGGTTTCAATGTATCGATAGAAAATAATTTAAATTTTTTTCTAAACTTTCATATAATAAAACCCATAAATTCTTTTCCAAAAAAAAATCCCAAAAATTCAGAACATGCATATGATATATGGTTAGGAAACTCTCATCAAGTAGAACAAAAATCCCCCAAGAGTCCCAAAATCAATAGAAAAAAATTTTAAACAAAATTTTATCATGAACTTTAGGTTCTATATGCAAATTTCAAATTATTTTAATAAATAAAAAAAATTGTGGGTCTTATAATCATATATGCATAGCTCTTATATCAAATGAAGAAAATAATTTTAAACTCATTGGTCAAACCCAAGAGCAAGAATGAGAAGATGTTAATGCGTGGAGGGCTGGTATAGATATGTGGAGGATTAGTAGGACATTAAGTTACATCAGATTACTGATTGAGAAAATTATATTTGGTTTTACTTTTTTTTATTAATATCATTGCATTTCTTTGTTGTTTTTTTCTATTGACTCTTGTAATTTTGAATGTTTGTTAAAAATTCATATGATTTTTTAAAATCTTATAAATTCATATTGTCCTTTCAAATCTTATAAATTTTATTAAAAATTTTTAAAATCTAATATTATAAAATCTTGATGGTAAAAAAAGTCTTTAAAGTCATTACAATTATATATAGTCTTTTAAAATTTTATAAGATATTCTATCTCAAAATTATCTTTTAAAATCTTAATCCAGTATGTACTAAAAATATATGTACGAATATCTTTGTTTGGCATGTTTATATGATTTAAGTAGTGGATGAAGCAATAAGCGAGTTTGATTTAAGGTGTTGAAGGGTTTCTACGATGTAGAAAAAATTTCACGAGAAAGGACAAATTTTTGTTTCGAAAATTAGTCCCATTTTCTTTCCAAGTTTTATTTTTCTCTCAATCTAAGAACAAACGAATACAACCAATTCTAATGTGTGCTGCTTTCTACTTCAGAGGGAAAAGGCTTAAAAGCTGACCAAACTAGAATTCAAATGTTGAACCTTTGATAGTGGCTTATGCATGTTTTGTTTCTTTGTTTCGGAGTACGATGTGCATGTCTTTGTTTGACACCTGACAAGAGTAAGGGAAACAAAGTGGACCAATTTTTTGGTGGGCCTTGGGAGATCTCACTCATACAACATCTGTTGAAAAATTCTTGTGTACGCGCTGTTTTCTGTTCCTAAATTTACAACATGTGCAGAAATTAACTCCAGCTGACACTTGACAGCACATGATACTTGTGTTTACGTGCTACACGCCTAAAGCCATTTTTTGTCAAAGAAAGGCCCACTCCCTTTTCTTTCCTTCATTTCACACTCTTTTTTTCTTTTTTCTTTTGGGTACACTTATTTCACACTTTTTGTTAACAAAGAGAGAAAGGTACTTAACCAATGGAGTTTTCTTATGGGCTGGTCTCTAGGCAGGCTTTCAATTTAGAGGACAACATGAGTCCTTGGCCCATAAACAATTAAGTCCCATAAAATGGGCCCATGCTTAAATATAATTTTTAAATATTTTTTTAATGGAAAATTACACTCTTATGTTATTCATTTTTCATGTTACACATAAAAAGATATGTCTCATTTTTTTTTTTAAATTGGTGGACCCCACTTAATTTATCTCACAACATAAGATAACTTCTCTCCTACAACTTGAGAGAAGTAAAACCCTTTTTTAATAGATACTTGATTATGAGGAGGAGCTAGCATCTTTGAAGGGGCCATAAAGAAAAACTCTGATTTTCGGGGCTAAAGTTGAATTAGTATTTAAAAAACCATTTACAAGTAAATTTGTTTAAAACAAAATCTTAAGGAATTTCAAGGCTTCGCCATTCATGACAAGGGAGATCCCTTAGCCTCCAAGCTTCCTTAAAAAGAAGCAAAGTTGCAAGGATCATGAGGTAATCTCCTGAATGAACTTCTGCTTGTCCTTTGAGATCCCAGACATGTTACTGACGCCCTGCCCAATAGTATTGAGAGTACCTCTCCTTACTATTACTTTTGTTCATTAGAAAAAAGGAACAAAACCTTGGCCTTAAATCTCTGTAAGAGATCTTGTTGCAATGTTCTGTGTAAAAAGGGACTCAATTTTCTTTTCACTCGATGTGGATTAATGATTGAAATTTTATCATGATTTATAGAAAAAGAAAGTATAGGAGAACATTTAAGTCCAGAACTATAATAAAATTACTACCTTCATTCATAAGAGATTCTATCTTACTCCTAAGTGGCACATGTATTACTAAATAATGATGGTGTCTAAAACTTTCAAGGCCACACAATTAGTCGGTCTACATATTATGGAGGATATATAGATGGAAAAACTATGTCGAAAAAGTCACCAATGAGGCATAAGCTCCAGCCAGCAATAATAATCTAAATGTAAATAGCGGTTACATGAACCAGAAAAGCTATATGCCTTGGATTCACATTTGGTACAAGAAGTCTTGTATAAAACCATGACTATTGATTTGTTTGAATCTAACTACACTCGTATCTAATAAATCAAAGCTGTTAGATATAAGTAAGTAACTCTTATATTTGCTCTCATATCAACTTCACATGACTGCAACCATGGTATCCATCCACCACTTGTTGAGGGAATCAAGCTGCGACTAAACAATTTAATGTTTGCTCTAGTGGTGAGTGCTAGAATTTGATGTGATTAAGTAACCATAAACATTGAACCAAGTACCTTAATAAAAGCACAAACAAGTAAAAGTTTATAATTAGTTGTAACTCACAAAAGGGTGAGCTTGCAGATTCAAAATCTACCAAAATCTGCAAAATCACACAACAGTTTGACTTGCAACGGGAATCATTATTGAACTTATCAATCATGACAGCTAACAACTATACATTTACAACCTTTTCAAAAGTACATATTTATCATGCACTGCTGCGTTAATGCTGTATTATTTAGGATCTTGCTGTAAGGAATAAAGAATCCAATAATCAATATGTCACTAGCTTGGTCGCTCGTCTACTGGTGCTTATTACTGATACTGATAATAAGTCTATTGTTGGCCGATTATCTACACATCAATTTGGCATCAGAAAACAAATATAGTACACGTAGAACAAATTTCAGATTGATGACTCAGATAGTAAGCTGTCACTATTTTTTTGAAATTTTTTATGTTGCCTCTGAAAATAAGGGTGGAAATTACTGACTCCATCCAAGTACAATGGCGTTTGCATTTCAATCAGGCGTGAGACCTACAAAGAAAGACCCAATGTTAATATTTTCTTTTTAGTTGATCTTTCAAAGTTTAAGAGCAATATACAGAATTTAGGAGATAGCTAAAAGGTTGTACACAAATACAACCAAGTCATTTAGAATTGACTTGTCTGTCAGAGTTTAAATTACAAGATAAATTACAACAGAATCTATGGGCAAAGCAGGTCACAGCAGACAAGTTATACAGCTTCATATATTCTAATCCAGTAATGATACATGCAAAGATTTTATCCTCACAAATCCTTCACAGATTCTCACGCATGCCATTGGATAACACCTTGGTCCTACTGTAACTTTTTTTTTTTGAAAGGCCCAAGAGAGTTCACCTTAGAGTCTGTGAGGATAATGTCTGTGCAAGAATCATCACTCTATCATAAACATGACACAGTAGATGATGCTCACTATGACAATTTCAAATGTTTCTGAAACATACTCAAAAATATGGTTCTTTCGTAAATCTGAAACATACTCAAAAAAATCAGACCATACCATGAAATTAATCTCGTGACCACAAAGAATTTAGTTACCAAATCATTTTAAACTTTCTACTTTATGGTCAGCTTACAAAGTTACAACTCTTTACCTTTCATCTTACTGCATGACTTCACCACTCAACAAAAATTATGCTTCACTAACGTGAAAGTCTGTTCAGTGCAAATTACTATAAACTGAATTGTCAACTGTTTTAACTATGTTTTTTAAAACCATTTTCAGATTTCTAACAGAAACCAAATAAAAGTGAATTGTATTTCATGGGTTACTTCCAAGTTTCCTTGAATTTCCTACAAAAATCATTATATAATTTAGCATCCTCTATCACAACATATGAGAATCTAGTATATGCTACACTCACCAGTAGGAAGCAAACTTGTACTGAAAATACACAAAGAATTTCATTATGAAAAGCCACTATAATACAGGTAGTCAGGAACAAGAAATACTACATGGAACCTGTAAAGAACCTTGGGATACACCATCCCAAAAGCTAGCTCAAAGGGTGGGAGTGCCCAAGGCCTTATAAACTTCACATTAGTTGCTCATACAACCAATGTAGGACTATATATCTCAACACGCCCCCTCACACAAGAGCCCATTGGACTTGAAGAGTGGATGATGCAACAGGCGCATCCTACTTGTGCTAAGAAATTCCACAAGAGAAAGTGGGGGGCGGCGAGGCTCTGATACCATGTAAAGAACCTTGGGATACACCACCCCAAAAGCTAGCTCAAAGGGTGGGAGTGCCCAAGGCCTTATAAACTTCACATTAGTTGCTCATACAACCAATGTAGGACTATATATCTCAACAGAACCATTTCAGCATAGTTCTAAATAACGAGATTTTGTCGCAAGTTAAAGCCAGGAAGGGTCACTACTTACAGCTCTGCGAAACGCAAACATCTCTTCTTGGCCAGATAGTATGGATGTGATACCAACAGGGGCACCTCCTGAGCCCACGTTGCCTTCTGCTAAGACATTGCGGCGAAGTTTCCCACCTTCGGTCTCTGTTTCGAACTGGAAACTGGAACCAAAACAAGAGTGAGTAGGTTCAGTTACCAATGCATCATTTAATTATGACCACTAGACTTCCATCACAAAATAGCTGATAAGCCTCACGTCAGCATAGCTTTATACATTATCAGAAATTTCTAAAAAAAAAAAAAGGAATGCCAGCCCCAAGAACAAAACAGATGTAAATCAGTAGGTATTAATTAAAATCCCAAATTGTCTAAAGAAAATCTCATAGACAGGGAATTTGACAATTTCATGATTTTTAAGTCTGCTTGCCTTCTTTACCAAGTTGGAAACATGTAGGAATTGCTCCTTTTAGATCAAGGTATAGAGTCTCCAAGTTCTCAACTTAATCAGTAAAAGTACTTTAACAGTCATCTTGGGTTCTATGCAACCTAATATTACAAAAAACAGCATTTACTTAACGTAGATTTTGGGAAACTGTTAGTCTCACATTTATGCCACATAATGACAAATGTAACGTGTGGTTTTTTGTTTGGTCAAATATGAATTCGCTGCACTATTACAGGGACTTTAATAAATAACAGTTACATGTCAGTTGAGGAAATGCATACCCATGATAAGATTTTACAATAGTTTGTTTTAAAACAAGTTTGTCAAGTAATGGCATTTCACAAACCATCTAGATTTGGGAATTCAATGGAAAAGTTTTCATTATGAACCAATCTGTTCCCAGCTACAACGCATAACAAGCATCAGAATCAATTACTGGAAAATGTATTGAAGGTGAAGTGGCAAAAAGGGTATATAAAATTACCACCCACTTTTAGGGCATATTTAAAGCATTAATACTTTTTAATCCAAAAGCCCTTAGCGCATCATACAGCTCATACAAACAGACAAATTACCTCTCCAAGTCAAAAAGTGTGCCATCTTCGGTTCCTTGAAATAATTCATCAATTGAAGAGGATGCCAAACAAAATAGGCAGCAGTGATGATTGTATAACTCGTCAATAAGGGTGATAAATCTCCTTGCCTGAAAAGTAGAGATTTTTTTTTTCTTTCTCAAAACAGGATAGGGATATGCAGAAACAGAGGTGTACTAAATTGAAATGTCATGGCTGATGCATTTAAATTTTTTAAGCATTGTATTTGAGGAATATCTTAGGAAACCATGCAGATGCAGAGTAAGAAAGCAAGTTTTCTAACCCAAAATTTCTTACAAAAATTTAGGCAGCCATAAATACATCCGAGGCCAACTCAACTGATCTTTATTAATACCTTGTCACGGATGCGCATACTCATCGCTGGAATATTAGATATGAAAACAGTATGATAATTTTCAGCTACTGCAATATAATCTGCTGCACCCAACTGAAAACCAAAACAGTTAGAGATAGATAAAGCAAGTTATCATGTGCAACTGGTTGCATGTGCACAATCATACAGAAGAAAAATTTAAAACAAGATGATTTAAAAGCAAGCCAAATAATGCTGAAAGACGAAGGGGAAAATAACAAAACAAAACACTTGTACCATCCTTAAGGTCTTCACAACCATCCACAAAAACATGGTCTTCTGGGTATCCTTTCTCTCACTAGATTTTTACTCAACCTGGCCTTGTTCATCCTTTCCTACTTCAGCTTTAACATTCTCAAACTTAGAAGCTGAATTTATTTCCTATTATAAAATAACTCCTACGGTTGATTGCTATGGATATCCCTTATTGTATGCTGTAACTAAAGTAGGAAATATATGCCGCAAACATATGTATCTCTATAGTTTAGGAAATTCTTAAAATCAAGGGATATGATTTTGTAATATTTTCAACATAAATCTATGAGAGTTGAGAGGATATCACTAAAGCAATCAAAAAAAACTTTAAGATTTCAAGCCCTACTTTATTAGCAAAAAAGTTATAAATCATTCTATATCTGCACTCCAAGATCCACGTTTGCTCTCCCCGAGGCACAGATAGTTGGCAACAAGATCACAGACACAAGACTAAAACCACAGAAAGCAAGGAGTTTAATCATCAAATGTTCCATCATATCTATAAATTAACTCTTGGAAGCTGTTCTTATCCATTTGAGCCACAAGCAGATTAATGAAACACATAATACAAAACAGTAAGATTTAATGACTATATCATCTAGAAAAAAATACTCTGGAGTTGGACAACAATCAATGAAAAAAAAACAATGTACCGGACGACCACAGAGATGCTCAAATGTGAAGCGTGCAACTCCTTCACAGCTTTCAGGAACCTCAAGAGTCCTGTCACAGAAAGAAATTATAGGATTCATGTTTATTATCCACCCTTCTTTGACAGCATTAAATATAAATAAGATACCTTCCGAACATCACTGAGATGGTGTTGGGGATTATTCTTCCTCCCAATCTGCCTGTTACATCATGCCACTTATTCTGAAATTCATTAATGGCTTTCCTTTCATTTGGCCAGAAATAGTGTACCTACATATGTATACCCGTTTGAATTCTAATACGTTCCAATTTAAGCATTATATTGCAAGATAATATGAGTTTACAGAAAGGCTCTCAGTAAAAGAATAGAATTGTATGTATTTTTGAAAATGATGCATTGTTAACATATAACTATCAGTATACACCATGCATAGATAGAAAACCTATAGTTGGCGGATGATTGTTAGCACATATTTCATGTAATGAATATTGTTCGAAAACAAAGATATATACAATAAATTTGAGTATCTTCAATGAGCCTTTAATTGGTGAGTTTCCTCTCTATAATTATGTTGCCAAGGCTAGAAAGGATTTTGGTTGCCCAAATTTTGTAGGCTGGCATTCCAACTTTGTAATTGTCGAAGAAAGCACATCTACATTGAATTGGTATTTGATTAAGTTGATGAAGTTATATGCATTGTTTTGGTTTACTAAACCATACAGATGTATCTAACTAGAGCCACAGCTTTTCATTTATGTTTCATCAACCATCATGGCCATGTTTACAAACCCTTAAAAAAATCAAGCCCAACCAATATCAAAGAGAATATGACATGGGCTACATGAACGGGGACATGCATATATGGTTACACAATGAGATGAATTTATTGATTGGCCATTAAAGATATTGGGTCATTGCATGTTTCACTTAATTGGCATGGCACATATAATTCATGATCCGCAATGAAGTTTTGTTTTTCCTTTAGTAATAATTTCCTCTGCAACAGATTATCATTTTTTAAATTTTAATTTTAATAACTTCGTTAAGTATATATTTTAGATGATCTATATAACTAATCAATTGAATTTGAATATTATTGTATATTCAAGTGTGTATAACTGTACAAGAAGGCTCTCTATTTATAGAGACTAAAAGACCTAATGGGAAGACCTAATGGGCCAAGCCCACAATCTAGACTATTCTAATAATAATAGATTAATATTATTTCTAACACTCCCCCTCAAGCTGGTGCGTATATATCAAAAGCTCCCAGCTTGTTACAAATATGATCTATTCGGGGACCTCTAAGAGCTTTAGTGAATACATCCGTAAGTTGATCATTGGAATTGACAAATGCTGCCTCGATCTCCCCTGACTGGATCTTTTCTCTAACAAAATGACAGTCAATTTCTATATGCTTGGTCCTCTCATGAAAGACTGGGTTAGAGGATATATGCAAAGCGGCTTGATTGTCACAAATGAGCTTCATAGGCCGTTGTTCACAGAGATGGAGTTCCTTAAGCAATTGTCTCAGCCAGATGAGCTCACAGGTTGCATTTGCCATTGCCCGATATTCTACCTCCGCACTGGATCTGGCGACCACAGTTTGCTTCTTACTCTTCCAAGAGATCAAATTTTCTCCGAAGAGAACACAATACCCTGAGGTGGATCGTCTATCTGAAGGAGAACCTGCCCAGTCAGCATCTGAATAACTAGAGATCTCTGAACTCCCTTTATTTGTGTATAATAAACCTCTTCCTGGCGCCTTTTTAATATATCGGAGAATTCTAATAACTGCATCCCAATGGGAGTCAAAGGGAGAATCAAGAAATTGACTTGCAACACTCACTGCGAAAGAGATATATGGCCTTGTCACAGTAAGATAATTCAATTTTCCAACTAGTCGGCGGTAGCGACTAAGATCTGGCAGTGGCTCCCCCTGTCCTGGTAATAACTTAACATTGGGGTCCATAGGTGTATCAATGGGTTTACAGCCTAACATGCCAGTCTCATCTAGGATATCCAGTGCATACTTCCTCTGACAGATGGAAATGCCCCGCCTAGACTGTGCAACTTCGATCCCCAAGAAATATCGAAGTCTGCCAAGATCTTTGGTCTGAAATTGATTGAATAAATGCTCTTTCAACTGATCAATCCCGGTCTGATCGCTGCCTGTAATGATAATGTCATCAACATAGACCAGGAGATAAACGCACTGGCCAGAAGAGCTATGCCGGTAAAAGACAGAATGATCGGCTTTGCTTCTGATTAAGCCAAAGGATTCAACAACTGAACTAAAGCGGCTAAACCAGGCCCGAGGAGATTGCTTCAGGCCATATAAAGATTTTCGAAGTTTACATACCATTCCAGAACTCTCCCCCTGAGCAACAAAACCTGGTGGTTGCTCCATATAAACTTCCTGTAGAAAATCAGAATTCAAATTCAAATATTTTTCCGTTTTTATTTATTAGGAATAATTAAGATTAATTAGGATTGATTGTTTTTTATTTCCTATTAGTTAGGATTAATTGTAATTATTTCGAATTAATTGTGATTAGGTTTAGTGAGTCATAGTTGAGTCATTCTTATGATTGTGATTAGGTTTGGTGAGTCGTAGCTGAGTCATGCTTAAATATTTTTTCTTGTATAAATACTCCTCATTCCTCATGTAATTATTTTCAATATCGATATACTGAAAACCTTTTTCAATACTTCATCCTGCAAGTCACCATGTAGAAAAGCATTCTTAATATCAAGTTGGAGAAGAGGCCAGTGATGAATGGCGGCAAGGGCAAGAATCAGGCGAACAAAAGCCATCTTAGCAACAGGAGAAAAGGTATCCCCATAATCAAGACCAAAGATCTGTGTGTATCCCTTGGCCACTAAGCGAGCTTTAAGGCGATCAACAGTGCCATCAGGACCAACTTTAACTGTGAACACCCATCGACAACCAACAACAGACTTCCCGGGAGGAGCACGAACAAGACCCCAAGTGCCATTGGAGTGAAGTGCCTGCATTTCATCAAGCATCGCCTGGCGCCACCCTGGATGAGATAGTGCTTCACCTGTGGTTTTAGGGATGGAAACAGAAGAGAGACTAGAAACAAAAGTAAAATGTTGTGAAGAAAGTCTGTCATAACTCAAGAAAGAATAAAGGGGGTGAGGATTTCGAGTGGATCGAATACCTTTCCGAAGGGCAATGGGAGGAGTCTCTGATGGAGGATCCGGAGGAGAAGAGCCGACGGGAAAGGGCGATGAGTCATCAAGAGGCAAAGTCGGAGGAAGTGCAGGCTGACGACGCTGGTATGTGAGGAGAGGACGATCTGCAGGTATGGAGGTAATGGGTTGCTCCTCTGGAATAGGGTCACCTGCAGCTGGTAAAGACAAGTCAAGAAAAGGAACAGGAAGGACCTGATCAACCTGTGACACTGGAGACGGAGTAGAGTGAAAAGGCTGCTGATCAAGGAAAGTGACATCAGCAGAAACGATATAACGATTGAGATCAGGAGAATAGCAACGATACCCTTTTTGAAAACGTGTATACCCAAGGAAAATACATTTGAAGGCCTTGGATGTCAACTTGTCTTTACCTGGAGTAAGATCATGAACAAAACAAGTACAGCCAAAAATATGTAAAGGCAGAGGATAAGAAGGTGCTCCAGAAAACAAAATACTGTGGGGAACATCATTATTTAGCACAGAAGAGGGCATGCGGTTGATAAGGAAACATGAGGTGATAATAGCATCTGCCCAAAAACGGAGTGGGACGTTCATATGAATGAGAAGGGTACATGTAGTTTCAACTAGATGTCTATTTTTACGTTCAGCGACTCCATTTTGTTGTGGAATGTGGGGACAGGTAGTGTGGTGTATCGTCCCATATGTATCCAGAAATTTAGAAAATTCAAGAGACACATACTCTTTTGCTTTTTCACTGTGCAAGATTTGAATAGAGGCACCAAATTGAGTTTTTATTTCTGCACAAAACTTTTGATAAATTGAAAATAACTTTTTTCATTAAATAAACCCAAGTGCAACGGGAGAAATCATTAATAAAGGTTACAAAATACTGAAAACCCAAAACTGACATAGTCCGACTCGGACCCCAAATATCAGAATGAACAATAGAAAATGGAGCAGCAGCTCTCTTATTGACTCTACTAGCAAAGGAAGAGTGAGTATGCTTTCCCTGCTGACAAGACTTACAATTCAAAGACTTAAAAGACCTGACAAAAAAGGAACCATATGCTGAAGCTTCGAGAGACTTGGATGACCCAGACGGCTATGGAGAAGCTCAGGAGACTCTGTGAGAGAGCATGCAACTGGAGCAGAGGGTGCATGCAGATAGTAGAGACCTCGTGACTCACTGCCCGCTCCAATCTTCTTCCCCGTACCCGGATCCTGCATAGAAAAAGACTGTTTAGAAAAGATGATAGAGCAAGAAAGAGAATGGGTCAATTGACTAACAGAAATTAAATTAAAAGGAATGCCAGGGATGTAATAAACAGAGGTTAAAGTCAAGAAGGGAGTTGGTTTGGCTTGCCCAATGCCACGAGCAGGAGCCTTGGTGCCATCAGCAAGAGTAACAGAGGGAAGATTATTAGAAAAAGTAAGGGAAGTAAAGAGATCCTTATTACCACAAAGATGATCAGTAGCACCTGAGTCTATTATCCAGGGTCCAAGAGACGATTGAGAAAAACAAGCAACATGATTACCAATATCTGGAGCAGGTGGCTGAGAAGAACTCTTCTGGAGAAGGGCCTCATAGTCTGCAGCGGAAATAGTCACTGATCCGGTAGAGGGCGGCACAACATCTGTTTGAGCAAAGTTCATATGTAGTGGCTTCAAGTGAGGGTACTTTCTGTAGCAACGTTCTTCAATGTGGCCCAGATTTTGGCAATAATTACACTGAGGCCTTTGTCCTCGGCCACCCTGTCCATATGACGTCGTCTGTCCGCGCCCGCCTGGGCCATATGATGTCATGGGCCCGCGACCGCCTTGTCCGCGGCCACGACCACGACCGCGTCCACCATTGTTCCAATTACCACGAGAGATTAAAGCAGCAGAATCAGACAAGAGGGCAGTAGAGTCAGTAGCTGGCACGTGTGCGGGGGCCACCTTATCTTGAAGATTCAGAAGGCGCTGAAAGGTCTGGGATATGCTGGGAATCTCAGTACTGGTTAGAATGTTCTCACGAACACTTTCTAATCCGTCAGGGAGACCAGAGAGAGTCACAACCGTAAAAAGACGCTCCACTTGCGTCCTGTACACTGTAGCATCCGCAGCATGAGGTAACATAGCCAAAAATTCCTGCATCAAAGAACGAATCTTACCAACATAAACTTCCATACGAGCTTCGGGTGATTTGCGCAAATCCATCATCTGGGAGACAATGGAATAAAGTTGCTGAATATCATTGGTGTAGAGGTTTTTGGCTTCCGTCCACACATCATAGCAGGTCTCAAAGGGAATAAAAATATTGAGAAGAGATGAATCAATGGATTGCCAAAGAATACTGAGGAGCTGAGCATCAACTTTCTCCCATTCAGACGTTTGATCTTTGGAAATATCAGTCTTCTTAGTGGTGAGATGTTTGTCATGGCCTTGACCGGTAAACCAGATCTTAACGGAGGTAGACCAGGTCTTGTAAGTGGCAGATCCGGTCGATTTCAGAGTTGTGATAGATGGAATAGCACTTGAAATGATGCCGGAAGGATGTTTACTGGTTCCTTCCATCAGAAACAGCGATCAGACGACCAAAAAACGGTAAAAGTCACGCGAAAAAAGAACAAAGTAGCAACTTTTGCACTGGAAACCCCCGGACGGAAGAGACCCACAACGAACAGGCACCGGATCTGGAAGGAGGAGGCAGAGGCGAGCCTGTCTGCCTTGGTTTGGCCGGAAAAGGTGGCCGGAACAGTGCACACGCGCCGGAGAGAGGCGGAGCGTGAGGCCCACGCGCAGACGGCTGTGGTGGCGCGTGCTGCGGCCGTTTGGGACGGGTCTTGGACAGAAACGGTCGCCGGCGTGAGGGGATCCTGATCGCGTGGTTTCTCGCCGGAAAGGTGGCCGGAACAATGATGAAAAGTGACGGAACAGTGTTTCTGGCGATGTGAACAGTGTTTTCCGATCAAATAATGAAGGAGGATGACGATCTGAGATCGAAAAAGGGTCTAACAATGTTCGGAGGGTTGAAAAAGGTTGCCGGTATGATGCACGGCGGTAAAAGGGTTTGCCGGTATGATGCACGGCAGTAAATAAGAAAGGAAAAGATATATATGCGGAAGCAGAGCCCTCGGATCGAGAGCTCTGATACCAAATTGAATCTGAATATTATTGTATATTCAAGTGTGTATAACTGTACAAGAAGGCTCTCTATTTATAGAGACTAAAAGACCTAATGGGAAGACCAAATGGGCCAAGCCCACAATCTAGACTATTCTAATAATAATAGATTAATATTATTTCTAAACATAATCAATGACCATAACATGGTGCAAGTACAATTCCTAGAAGTGCATGTCATCAAAAGAAAATACTATTGGAGAAAAAATATTTCAAAATATTGTTGGATTACTTGTCTTCTACTAAGAAATAAATTGACATCATATTTGCACACAGATATTTTTCGATGGTTCAGACAAAGGTGGCGAAAATAACAGATAATTTAAATTCTCACCTGGTTTACTGATCTTTGTGCTATAAAACGACGGTAGTCAATTTCACTCCCTATCAATACATTCTCACAATGTTCTTCCAATTTGGAGATAAGTTTTTGGAAGATTTCTCGTTGCATACCAGCCTGCACAAGAAACAATTCTCGATGAAAATATTCAGAAAGAAGTATGAGGTGACATCCCTGTAATTATTAACCCCATTCACAAAATTGAATAACAAGTAAAAAGACTAAAACATGCTGCAAAAGATTGGCTAGTAAAGAACATACCTCATTTAAATCCTCTGGTGCCCGATTACTGGTAGCCACAATAATAGTTCCACTACTCAGCAGTCTGCTTAGAATTCCAGACAAAGCCACAATAGCAAATACATCAACAGTCTGAAATAAAGAGCATTAATATTCAGTCATATTCTAGACTACAAGCAAAAGAGTGAAGAAAACAAGTGATGCAATACAGAGGGAGGTCAGCAATCATGCTAACAATGAGTCAAAGAGGGCCAAAAAAACAGATGCAACTCAATCTTACAACAGTGGTGCTTTATAGCCAACATTGAGTTTCCACCAGATAGTGTGATCTGGAACTAATTTATACATATGGGCAAGGAAAATTACTAACCAAGAAATCCGTACAGATTACATATAATAAATACGGGGAATTTATTATAACACAAAGTAAGAGTTTTCCTTTACCTGTATCTCATCGAAGCACAAAATGCTAGCTCCCTTTTCATCCTCTTCTCGATCCAGAAAAAACTTATCTGCTACAGCAGGAAGAATGTTTTTCAACTGTACCTCTTGTTTGTATCTTTCTTCTGCAGCCAGCCACTCCTTAGCTTTTGTGTCAAAGGGAAGATTCATAATCCAACCAGCAATGCTTGACTGCAAAGGCTTCTCTTCCATTTGATTCTTCCATATCTTATGCATCTGTTCATTTATTTTAAGCATGGCCTGCACATGGATGAAGTTTAAGTCTTTCTCTTTCAGCACCATGTTCGTGACATTTATCGATGGTCTGACTAAAGAAAGATGGTATATATATTCCAGACAACAACATAGATGACATCTATGTCAACATGACCACACAGGTATTGCCAATAAGCATAGTAAAAGACTCACCTCATGAAAGTGATACCTTCTTCGATGTTTAACAATTCCTTTAGTGGAACTATAAAACATGTCCATCAGCATTGTCTTCCCTTCAGCATTAGAAAAGCAAGCAAAATAATTAGAAAAGAAACTGGCAAGATAAGGTTACAAAGAGAACCAAGGCAACAAATTATATCTACTCAGGCAAGTAACATAAATGAAGCAACCAGAAACTTTAAGCAATACCATAATTAGAAATCAAATCAGGCTGATATAAGTTTGCATTACAGGTAAACATAAACATCAGCCAAAAAGAGAGAGGAAAATACAAGGTAAATACCACTGCCAACATTGCCATATATGTAAAGTCCTTTTGGGGCTGGTGGAGCAGTTGGTCGGCGACCAACTAGTGAATCCAACTTCTTCTCACGTTTAAGATATGACACCCATTTTCCTACCCCCGGCTCCATATTTTCTGGTTTTTTCCTGAGACATAAAAGGGATATGTACTTTTAAGTTTTAACACAATGTAACTGAGATAGAAAAGAAACGAAACAAAATTCACATTAAGGAAACAAAAGCTGAATTTGAAATTGCTTAGTTTCAGACAAAAATTCTCAGTAGCAGTGGAATTATATCAATTCAAGCACCTAGTTGACTCAGAATTTACCGGGAGTTCCATCTTTCAGTAAGTTTATTGTTCAATCGTTTCCACCAATCCTCATCTTTCTGCTGCAGCTCAACTTCCTCCATGAGAAGCCTCCGCCGCTTATTCTCCCTATTCTTTTCCCAATTTGACAGATTTACCTGCCAAGAGCGAGGACAAGTTTAAAAATCACAGAAACAAACACAAACACATGTTAATTGGCCCAATAAAATGAAGAATGAATAGAATATCGAATTCCAATTTTACATGATACTCTTGCATATCTTTCTCATACTGCTCCAACCTTGCAAGCAAGTTCTCAAGCTCTGAAGCAACACTTTCTTGGTAAGGATCATGCTGCAACTTCCCTTCATCAACTAGACTTTTGTACTGCACAAGCGGCCCTGGAACTCCACAATTTCCGCAAATATTGAAAAATGGGGATAATTCATGTTCAATTGTTAAAATAAAATAAAATTACAGAAAGTGGGGCTTAATGATCCAAAATATAAAATTGAAATTGGAAAAAAGTGAAAGATAGAGAAGAAAAATAAACCTGGAGGGTTGCAATAAGAACGAAGCGTATTGGCGCCGAAATTAGAAGTTGGGCTCGCAAATTCAAATGCAATGAGTTGCTTCGATTTAGAGAGAAGATTGAAGATTCTTCTCATTTTTTGCGTCCTCAAACCTCAATGAACTTCACTAGCATTTTTTTTTCTTGTCTTGTTTGATTGAATGAATGCGATCATAACTCACAACATACAGAAAAAAAGATAGGACCTTTCTGAAAGGTAGATGGCGAGTGACGTGGCCGTTGCTCTCACCACCAAAAGAAACAGAATTCGAAATCGAACATCAGACAACACGTGCGACATTAATTCTCGTTTTCGACACACGCTCACGTTTTTGTTTTTGTATATTTAAAAGTTTAAACCTAATTGAAACCCTCATTAGCACACACTGTCGTTTTTATGAAAATGGTTGAAATGAAGCAATGCAATTCCCCATGATAAAAAATGCAATCAACGCCTTAAGGTACCAACTTCCAGCAGATACAACGAAACAAAGAGTTGCGGAACAAACATGCTTAGCTCTTCTTCAATCGTGCAACACTCTCACTAACCTCACACAAATCCACGCGCTCATTCTCAAATTGGGTCTCCGAAATAACCCACTTGTTCTCACCAAGTTCGCTTCCACCTCTTCCGACCTCAATGTCATACACTACGCTTCCTCATTCCTATTCTCCTCTGTTGAAGCTGAAGCTGCTTCCCCTAATCTATTCTACGATACCTTCCTCTTTAACACTGTTATCAGGGCTTATGCTCAAACGGGTGACTCCAAGTTCAAGGCTTTACATTTCTACCGAACCATGCTTCATTATGGGGTTTTGCCTAATAAATTCACCTACCCTTTTGTCCTCAAGGCCTGTGCTGGCCTTGCCAGTTTGAGTTTGGGACAATCAGTTCATGGTTCTTTGGTAAAGTTTGGATTTGAGGATGATCTTCATGTTCAGAACACCATGATTCACATGTATTGTTGTAGCGAGGAAGGGTTTGAGTTTGCTAGGAAGGTGTTTGATGAAAGTCCTAAGACGGATTCGGTGACGTGGAGTGCCATGATTGGAGGGTATGCGCGTTTGGGACGTTCTGCACCCGCCATTGGGTTGTTTAGGGAAATGCAGGTTATGGGAGTTTGCCCTGATGAGATAACCATGGTTTCGGTTTTATCTGCTTGTGCTGATTTGGGTGCACTTGAGCTGGGGAAGTGGTTGGAATCTTATGTTGAGAGGAAGAACATACCAAAGTCTGTTGAGCTATGTAATGCGCTGATAGACATGTTTGCAAAGTGTGGTGATGTTGACAAAGCTATGAAACTGTTTAGACAAATGGAAGCGCGCACCATAGTTTCGTGGACTTCAGTGATTGTTGGTTTGGCAATGCATGGTCGTGGCTTAGAGGCTGTTTCTTTGTTTGATGAGATGATTGAAGAAGGTATGGCCCCTGATGATGTTGCTTTCATTGGGGTGCTCTCTGCTTGTAGTCACTCCGGGCTAGTTGATAAAGGACGGTGCTATTTCAATTCAATGGGGAAGGATTTTGGCATTGTGGCCAAGATAGAACACTATGGATGCATGGTGGATCTTTTGAGTAGAGCTGGACTCGTCAAAGAGGCGTTGGAGTTTGTTCGAACGATGTCTGTTGAGCCAAACCAAATCATTTGGAGAACCATAATCACTGCTTGCCATGCCCGCGGTGAACTCAAGCTTGGAGAGAGCATCTCAAAAGAGCTAATCAGAAGTGAGCCAATGCATGAATCTAACTATGTTCTGCTTTCAAACATTTATGCAAAATTGCTACGCTGGGAGAAGAAGACCAAGGTTAGAGAGATGATGGATATGAAAGGGATGAAGAAGATTCCAGGGAGCACCATGGTTGAGCTAAATAATGAAATGCATGAGTTTGTTGCTGGTGATAAGTCGCATAATCAGTACAAGGAAATATATGAAATGGTGGACGAGATGGGAAAGGAAATAAAAAGGGCAGGATATGTACCTACAACATCACAGGTATTGCTTGATATTAATGAAGAAGACAAAGAAGATGCTTTGTATAGACACAGTGAAAAGCTTGCTATAGCTTTTTCTCTTCTGAATACGCCCCCAGGAACACCCATTAGAATTGTGAAGAACTTGCGTGTTTGTGAAGATTGTCATTCTGCTACTAAGTTCATATCTAAGGTTTATAACCGAGAGGTTGTGGTGAGGGACCGCAATCGCTTCCACCATTTCAAGAATGGTTTGTGCTCCTGTGGAGACTTCTGGTAACAAATTGGTTAGAGCATCTTAGATTTTCTATTCATATGCCGAAAGCTTCAAAATTTCTGTTCTGGATAGCATTCCAAAACTAGCATTTTATGGAAGGATTTAATCATCATGTGCTGAATCATGTTTGAAAACTAACCAGTGAAAAGTTATAGCCCAGAGTCACTTTGAACCCCCTCATACGATAACAATTCTTCTGCTGAGGTTAAACAAGGATGTCATCATCGGTTGGTTACTCTTCCCTTCATAAATAGAAACCAAGGCTAAAAACGATTTTTGTTGCCAAATTTTGTGATGATGGCATCCCAGCTTTGTTATTGAAAAAGCAAGCACATTTACATTGGGTTTCATGATCAAGTTGATAAAATTACATGCTTTAATTTGTTTCACTAAACCATTGATTCCAAGTAGTTGTCACTTCACTTGTCAGTGATCATGGGCGTGGTGTGTACGCACCAATTATATATCTAGAAGAAGGTTGTCTATATATATATATATATATATATACACACGAAAAATCCAAAATTCAGTCACTGGACTGTTCATTGAGTGTATTGTGACTATATTCTTCTGCGAGAATATAGTGCAAAAATATTACAATGGTGTTCTTCAGGTGTTCTCCCGGGAAAACATAGTTATAATATTTTTTGCACTATATTCTTGCAGGAGAATATAGTGCACTGGACCAAAATTACATCCAGTCACTTGATATTCACTAAGCCAATATATATATATATATAATTGTGTAAGGTCCATATAGGCCCATGTGAGAAGAAAAAAAAAATATGAGTCTCATACACTTTTATATGTATGTAAGAAATAAATTTATCTCCTAATAAATATTAAACCATTACAAATTATTTACCTTTCAGAATTATAGAAGACTAGAAATGAACAACTATGTCCTTGCCATTCTAGCCTAGCAGTGGACAACCCCAACTTTCGAAGTTCTATGACAAAATGATATAATCAGTTAAAATTGGTGAGCAATTATGGACAAAATGATATTTCATATCCAAGGAGTTGTTGATGTAAATACCTTGAAATATAATGTGGCCCACAGGCACAGCCAAATCAGTAACTTATAACTAGGATATAAATGGATAAGGGTAAACTGATTTATTAATTTAGTGCAAGTTAAATTCTAAGTTTATTAAGCCTTCAATACATATTAAGAATTAGAAAAAATAAATAAAATTATATTATTTTAATTAAAATTATTTAAATAATTATTTTATTTTAATTAAAATAAATAAAACGATACAAATTCGATTATAAACCTATAGGTCAAGCCTTATAAAATAGACGTATAACTTATATTTTTAACAAATTTTTTAAGGCTTGAGTCTCATGTATTTTGCTAAATATATTAGATCACACCTGACTTGATATTGACAAAATTTTGAAGGCATGAGTCCCATCTATTTTTTTGGGTAGGATATTCTAACAACGAACTAGTGTTAGTATTATCAATCAATTTCATCGTTAGATCAATTACGTTGATTTAACAATTATATTTATTTTCATCTTTGTATGGTTATGATTCCACATATTTAATGTGAAAGCATTAAATATGAAAAATCATAACCATACAGAAATAAAAAGAAATATAAAGTATTAAATACGGGAATCATAAGCATATAAAGGTGAAAATAAATATAACCGTTGGATCAACACAATCGATTTAACGGTAAAATTGATTGGCAGTAACACAATTGATTGTTACAGTATCTTTCCCTTTTTTAAAAAATAAAATAAAACAATTAAAATAAGACCAAACGGTGTCGTTTTGGTTGTAAAAGAACCTCCTTTCATACAAGTGGATCTTCTTCATCTTCGCAAATCCCTTGCTCCCAAGATTAGTTCATCGAAATCGAATCCCAATTAATTAATTTGTCTCTTACTGTCTGTCGCCCATCCATTTAGCCATCGTCGCTCTCGCTCGCTGCTTGGATCCCGCCCGCTCAAAAATAAGTAAGAATATCTTCCCAATAACCTTCGATTTTGTTAGATGCTTGGATATGAGGTTCTTCGTTCTTCCTCGATTTAACTAATAATAATAATAATATCATGGGGATTTTGAGTATCATGAGGTTTAGTATTATGATATTGGTTTAGTTCCTCTTCTCCTTGGTTTAGTATCATTATAGTTTGTTCCTTTCCTTCAATAATTGTTAGTTCCTGTTCTTACTGGTTTACTATCATGAGTTATATAGCTTTTATCTATATTTTGAGGATTTTGAGATGTCAAAAAAAAAAAAAAATTGAATTTTTTTGAAATTTATGAAATGACATCAATAAAAAAAATGTAATACCCTTTTAGCACTCTAAAAAGTAATTTTGTTGATTTAGCAAATAATCAGTGAATGGGTACCACACTACCCATCACTAAGTTAAATATATTTGTTATCGGAGTTCCTTCGTTCAAGCATTGTTAATGCAGCTTGTAACACCTATCAAGTTTTTCTATCTTGAGTGCATCAATCATACTCCATTTCATTGTAAATAATGGAACCTGACCATAATATTATCAGCATGATTTAGGAAACTACACCTTATAGCTTGTGTTTCTTCCATTTATTACAAGGGAAAAAGATACAAGAATAATTGAAGAACCCAACATCTCAGCAAACATTTTGGCCCTTATAAATGCCTTCATATAGACCGACGTAGTGCTGCAGGTGACTACATCAGGGCTAGCACCATTTATAGCAATACCATTGGAGATTGAAAAATAATTGTTTCATTGATAAAGCATACTGACTATATTTCTGTTGTTAGCTAGTAATCTAGTAATCTTTACAGTTTCTCTTATATAATTATAATATTTGGTTAGTTTATGGGAATTCCAATCTATGCTATTTACTGCCAAATATTTCTACAATCTTAATAATCTTAAACCCTGCACATGGGAATTAGAGACCCAAAGGGTCCCAAATAATTATGCCGTCATTTTTTTGGCATTTGCTTAGTCATTCAAGTTTTTGACATTCTATCTCTTTCCTTTTTGATATCTCTCAATTCAAGTTTTTGCAAGATAGATACACTCCCCTATTACATAGCCTCATGCATTTTCTGGTTGGTTAAATAGGAGAGTGTGCATAGGTTGTAAGGCATCTGGTATCTGGCTTGAAATGGAACTTGGGAGAGACTAGGGCCTCTCGAATACTCTAGAACCTTCGATGTTATTTTCTCTTCTTTCATTACTGTTAATTGTCTCTTCCATTATTACTGTTATAGTTTTATTGTATTTCATTACTGTCAGGACTGTAACCTGTATCCAAACTGATGTATTGTTGCAGTTTCCATTAATACAAGTCTCTGTTTTCATTTATTTCTCTGTATTGAGTGAAATCCCTATCAGATTTTGAAGAAGAATGTAGTCCTGGTGAGTCAGTGGTTTGATAAGTTAGCTTTTGGGCAGTTTAGAGCATACTGGAGTTTAGCAGCTCCCTGTGGAGTATTAAATTCACCCCTTCCTTGCGAGCCTCTGTTGTGCTCTTGTTAAATTTTAAAGCTTGTTGTGAGATCCTAATAAAATTTGTGTGCCACTGTTTCTGTTATTATGCTGACAATGGGAGTTTCTTAAGCTTGCTGCTATGTCTTCTCAAGGTTTTTCTGATTTTCTTTTCGTTAGTCTATTGACAACTGCTGTGTTCTTAAGTTTAGTGAATAACTCATGCTTTTATATTGTACTGGCTACCTCTGTTGCACTTGTATGTGGTCTAGCAATATCAGGTTATGGAGTCAATTTTCATCCCTATTTCTTTCATTTCCTTTTTACTTTTAAGTACTATATTTTCTTGTGAATTTCATAAATCTGTTTCGAGAAGAAAAAAACTTTAGGGATAATTAGGGTTTATGCTTGTAATTAGAAGGTGATAATTTAGCCAAGGTTTCATTCTGTTTGGCAGTTGCATGGAACATTATTAATTAATTCTTTCAAGAGTTATCAGCTGAATCAGCATTCTATAAGTTTTACTTCTAGCATTTCTGAGGTGGATTCCATTTTGCAGAAAATCCCAAAGCATATAGTTGTTGATGATTTGTCAACATGAATAAATTGCTAGAGTTTGGAAGGAAAGCCATGTTTTATGTCCGGGTGCTTTCTGGATATGAAGAGCGAAGAATACGGTCTTTTAGGCTGCAGCTCGAGGAACGTGTCAAACAGGTCCGACATTTTCTCTTATATGAACACTTTTTTTTTCTTGAGTCTGTTACTGTTCTCTTTTAGAAACCAAATTAGAAGATAATACATGAATGTTATGAGCTCAGACTTGGGATTTCATATGAAGCTGGGGCTCATTTGCAAATTGAGTAGCCAAGAAGTGAGTCTCATTTAAAAAATAAAGTGAGACTGATAAGTTCCAATAATCTTGGTATAACTAAATGGAAGCAGAATCTGAAAATCGTATTAACTATAATGGATTCTCGTAAGAAAACCAGCAAATTAGTACAAACACCAGTGAAAGTTGAAGAAAATTACAAAGAAAGAGAACTACTGCTAAAAGGAAAGGTTGCTGAAGATAAAATAGTAGAAGAGGAAAATTGATAATTCTCAATTTTAGAGGCTACTGGTAAACATTATCTCCCAAGCCTAGTCTCAGTCTATTTTTTCCCCCCCCCCCCCCCCCCCCCCCCCTTTTTTTTTTTAAGTTTTATGTGGATGGATTAGATACTGTCATCACAAAGTCTAGGCACATCATATTCTGGATATAATAGAGGTGCTGAGTCATTCATTATCTTGCACTTTTGAATGGAGTCAGTAAGGCATCATCTTGTTGATCCTTAGTCTAAATAAGTATTAAATTGTTAAGAAGGGTCAGCTTTTCTTTGGGCTGATATATGAGTCTTACAAAAATAGGTAAAACAAGGTAGTTAAGAATTAAGATATTACTTTTTAATATTTTTCTTCTTCCTTGCTGCTAAGCTCCTATTCACATTGGGTAAATATAAATTTAACTTTCATTTTTCATTGCGGTGAAGGAATATGTGGGATTTTCTCTTTAAAGAGGATCTGCATGCCCTCAAAGCCTTTATACTATTTAGTATCTTCTTTCCCATTTTTATGTGTATGATGTTTTCCCATGAAAAGGCACAAGAAAGGAAAGCAGCCTTAAATAAAGTACCTGAGCAGATTATTTTATCTGATGTTCGTCGTATGGTTGAAGAGATGCAAGCTTTGAACAAGAAGCTGGAAGAAACAGTAAGTTGTATATTCATGAAAAATATGAAATTTTGGAAATTTAAGATTTAAATAATTGTATGTCTTTGGAAATTATCTTTGAAATTTGCAATCCTTTTCCCTGACTTATGAATATGAAGGCACCTAAACAAAAATTTTATTTTTTCCCTAAGAAGTTATGCCAGCATGCATTGAGAACTTCCGTGTGAAATGCAAATTCTGTCATGATTGTCTTATTTAAGATATTTTTCTGTTATATGGAAGTTTTTTAATGATATTTGGTTTCTTTTCCTTGATTTATATTCTGATTATTTTGTTTGTTGCACCCAAATTTGTTACATTACAAGATGTAATTTTCATGTAGGAAACAGCCATTGAAGAATATTTCAAGCCTCTTGACAAGGAAGCTGAGATCATAATGAAAATGCAACTACAAGGGGAAGAGAAAACGTCAGAGATGATGATGAAAGCTCTGGAGCAACAAGTAGACAACATTGAAACCAACCAGAAGGAAGCTGAGATTTTAATGAAAATGGGTGTAGGAGAGGAAGAACAAACTCTGAAGGAGATGATGAAAGCAATGCAGCAACAACTTTTGCTTGAGAAAGCTGATGCAGAAAATACTGATAGTGTGCATCAAGTAGACAACTCTCATATCAACCCGATCATAGCATCCACAGTCACTCCTAAAGAAAGCTAAGATTAGATAAAATTTTGAAACATTGGTGATTCCTGATTTTGAGATTTGAAATTTGAAATGCGTTTCGGCTTGGTTGTTGAAGTGTTTAAACATCATTTGTGTATTCAACCAACAAAGGCAGGACTAGGCTAGATTTGTAGTTTATTTGTATTATTTTATGGATAAAGTATTTCTTCACTTATTGGAAATAAGTTATCTCCTGAGATCCTCAAAATTACGTCGTTTTGAATTAATAAAAAGTGTTTATGTAATTTTAGGAAAGTTAATGAAGGGTGTTTTTGTAAAATTTATATGATAAAAAAATAAATAAAATTACTAAAATATTCTTCATTAATTCAAAATTACGTAATTTTGGGGGTCACTGAAAATAACTTATCTTTATTTTATTCAATAAAAGTTACATCAACTTTTTTATGAGGTATGGTTAAATAATAAACTTTCATGCATTTTTTTTATTTATTATTTAGGTTAAAATATGTAATTCGTACCTATAGTGTTCCTCAATTTTTGTTTATGGTTTCTTTAGTATAAAAATGGTTTCTGTAGTATAAAAATTGTTATAAGTGTCTATACTTTATAACCATTAATACATTGATTTCTCCCATTAGCTAGGGTTTTTAAACCCTTGAGTCTGATGTGGCAAACTATCATCTTATGGCTTTTTGACCCTTATAACATTTTATTATTAATTAATTACCGATTTGACTTTGATTATAAACTATTTCAAAAATTTAACTTCCTCAAAAAACATAACACCAATCTACTCCTGTTTGACCGTTGACCACCAAGCCTACCCGGGTACATCCCTCTCTACGCGGGTATTTTATGAAAAATTTTGTCTACCCGAGTAGGGAGGAGTGTACCCGGATATTGTTCTTCGCACCTGAAAAATTACTTGAATTATTTACCTAGGTAGAGAGGGGTGTACCCGGGTAAATCTTCGACCACCCATTTGGTATTTGCTATAACTGGGGCAACTTGTAGCTGATGGATATAAGAACAGATATGATTTATTTGATTTTGAGGAAAAAGGAGCAACGTGAACACCACCCCTTTTTCATCCTCACCGTCACCGTCGAATCGATTTTGAAACTAAGATGAGATCTAACATTTGGTTACCTAGCAAGAAAGAGAAGAGCTTGGCAATGTAAATCCACAACACACCAAACCTGTCAACAAGAAATTGCCAGCTTGCAAGTAAAAATGTCGTTATTAAATCATTTCCTTTATCTCTCTCCCCTGAGTCCCTTCAATGGTTTCTGGGTTCAGTTTTCTGAATTTTTTCAAAATCTCCGGAACGATGGGATCGCACGATCCTACGGATTTTACGATCTAAGAAGTCGATCTCATCCGATCTCACTCTCAACCGATCTTACCATTCATTTGTTCTTATATCCATCAGCTACAAGTTGCCCCAGTTATAGCAAGTACCAAATGGGTGGTCGAAGATTTAGCCGGGTACACCCCTCTCTACCCGGGTAAATAATTCAAACAATTTCTCAGGTGCGAAGAACAATACCCGGGTACACTTTTCCTTATCCGGGTAGACAAAATTTTTCAAAAAATACTCGGGTAGAGAGGGGTGTACCCGGGTAGGCTTGGTGGTCAACGGTCAAACAGGGGTAGATTGGTGTTATGTTTTTTGAGGGGGTTAAATTTTTGAAATAGTTTATAATCAAGGTCAAATCGGTAATTAATTAATAATAAAAGGTTATAAGGGTCAAAAAGCCATCATCTTATCTTTTTGGAAATATTTATATCGGTTCATCGCTTCGCAACTAATTTGATTTGGGACAAGTTCAGGATTAAAGTTTTAAATTTCTTCCAAAGGTGGATTTCATAATTATCCTAATGGAACAAAAAGATCATTAAAACATGATATATCCAAGTAAGGGTCCACAAAAATGTAGAGGTATATCCAATTTAATAAAGAAAAAAATGATGAAGTTTTATTTTAATAGAAAAGGAAAATATTTCATATTAATGATAAAACAGAATTTAATTATTCTCATAAAATAAAAAATAACAAACTTGTTTATCTTATACAAGGCAATAATAGTACAGACAAAAATTTTATGGAATCATCTCAGGCAGCTGAGAATCAAGGGGGAAGGATAATTAACCCGTTAAATTATTTTTTTCATTTGAAAGCTTTTCTAATTATTATGTATACTGTCGTTTTATCTTTTTTATTTAATATATATTTTTTTATTAAATATTTAACAAATTTTATATATGATCTACAGCTATATATAATTTATACACCTGAACTCATTGCAAGGAAAGTTTAGGATAAATATCACCTTCACATACAATTTTTCCTCTAAAATTTCTCCTTTTAAGTTTATAGACAAATTTGTTTTCGCCCATAAAGTAAACTAAAATTACCACTAGGGTTAGCCTAGTGGTGTGGGGTGTGTGTGTTAGGAGCTATGTAGCACCGATACGACACGCGACACGTGACACGACACGACACTCCACTCCGACACGTCAATCTTAAAAAATTATGGATTTCGACACGTTGGGACACGTTTTAATATTAAATAATATTTTTAATTTATATAGTGTATATTTCATTTAATATTTAATAATTTAACAAAAAAATGAAACTAAATTAATAATACCCATCAACACGTTATAAAGATGGAAGCTTTAATAAAAAAAATAAGAACTGGGATGAGAGATATAAGATCAGTTAGAGAGATCAAATCATATTAGAGAGAGATCAGAGAGAAGAAGATACAATAAGAGCGTGATATGAATTGACAACAATGATGCTGAGATAATCTCTTATCTACTTAAGGGGAAAAAAGACAAAAAGATAAAATTGATATGATCAGGTGGAAGCTTTATTAATATATTTTAACTTTTAAAAAAAAATAAAAAATAAAATAAAAAAATTACGAAAATGCCATTTGACCGTGTCGGACACCGTCAAATTCGCGTGTCGGAATAGTCAACGTGTCGAAAAAAGTCAACCGCGTGTCCGACACCGTGTCGAAGCGTGTCGCCGTGTCGGAGCGTGTCAGATCCGACTCTTCCTGTTTTTACAAGTGTCCGTGCTTCCTTGGTTAGGAGTGTGTGTAGTGTAGGGTGTTATGTTCAATTCCTTGTAACCTCCAAAAAAAAAAAAGTAAACTAAAATTTAAAAAAGTATTTAATATTGAAATATTTATATTTAATTTAATTTAGACTTCTTCTCTTTGTGTCTGTTATTGTGGATGATAACTGTTTTACCCCTTTTTTTTCATTTTAAAAAAAGTAACAGGATCCACTTTCCCCAAAACATCTGCTAAACTTTTTATTACGTTTAAATTCTTTAAAAAAACAAAATTGGTTATCCTACCATTTTTAATTTATTTTTTAAAAAAGGACCTGTTAAATGCTCCTCTTTGTCTCATTTGCATGCCACAACTAATCCTATGCTCATCCAAATCATCGAGAGAATCAGTATATATATGGTTTTCTCTACTTTTCCTCACAAAGTTGAAGCCTTCAACTTGGAGAGGCATTATGTTGGGTCGGTTTTATTATATTCGACCAATGATCATTGGGTTTACCTTGCTGTTATACTTGAGCTTATTGGATTTTACAGATCTAATCGAAACCATTTTGCTCTTATTTTTAATTTAGATTATATCTTGTTCTTATTCTAGAGCATTAATATTATTACTTTAGTTACAATATTTCGTTAATAATTCATTTCCTTAATTATATAAAGTATTATTCAATTAAATTTTTCTCAAACAAGAAAATAAATACCACAGAATTCAAATTAAAATTAATTTAATAACCACCAAAAACTGATCCAGGATTATTTCAGCTCAACCATTTGTCTCAAATTTAAGTGTTTAACTTTACCAGATTAATCAAATAATTGATGAACTAACAGAAATTTAAAATAATAATAATTTAATTATATTCTATAAAATCAAAGAATTAAGACAATGATAATTTAGAATATTATTAGACTAAATTAATATAAACAAAAACCTTTCAAAAAGCACAAAGTGGTGAGACGACTCGGCTATCTTAAGGGTCTAACCTACTAAGCTGAATGTAAGGCTGCAGCCTGCAGGTATTCATCAAAATTAATAAAGAAATTATCAAAACATTATTATTAAAAAAATCATAATTATACGTTTTATAATAAAGTTCTTTCCATCTTTAGCTTAAGAAAAGGCCAGAAAACTAAAATAAAGCCACAAGAAATGGCGACAGCATAATTCATAAGTGGAGATAAAAATTAGAAAAAAATATAAATTACCCCCCCCCCCCCCCCCCCTCTCTCTCTCTATATATATATCTATATATATCTATATCTATATATATATATATATCTATATGAAAAAAGTATATATCATTTTAAAAGATATAAAGTTGTGTCATTTTAAATAAGAGAAAAATATAGATAAAAAGGGAAAGAGTAGACAAACACAAATTATGTAATTTAAAAAAACAAACACTTTTTCTTAATATATATATATATATATATATATAAAACAAAGATCCGACGGTTAAAATACCCATGCAAAATCAGGTATCAATCAATGGGAAACTATTTGTAGAAATAGAAAATCTCACTAAAAAATGAAAAGCTTCCAAAATAATCTTCTAATTAACCGGCCTCCCCACAAATAGCAGAGCGACCACTGTGAGGGTCTTCCCGCATCCAAGCAGCAAACTAATTAAATAAGACCACGTCAATGCATTCAACCATGATATTAACTTCGCAATCTAATAAATTAATTGAAAAATAAGTTCACCAAAAACAACATGAAGTTCAAAGGATAAAAAATCTAAATAATACAGAATACATTAAATTCATAAATTCAGAAGCCGCCATACCACAAAATCCTAAGCTTAAAATGGCGTCAACAGTTATAAAACTAACGGACTCGACAATGACACGGAGAATCATCTGTTCAAATAGCCACTCTGAACTGAGAGATACATATAATCTGCAAGAGCTCATACCATCCATGAAATATACCTAAGCCTCACTATGATGGCACTGCAAAAAAAGTTCAAGGAAATCCCGTCAAAAACTCAGACAGCAAAAGCACAAAGCAACATATAGACAGTTCCCAAGAGAGGGAGAAAAAATATGGCAGTAGAAAGTTGAACCCATCTGGTACAGGGAAAACTTAAAACATAAAAATACGGAATCTATCAAAGCATGAATATTATGCAAGATTTTTTTTTCTGAAGTAAAGAAAGATAATAAAATTATTGATGGACACGAGAAAAAGTTTGAAGTTGCAACTGAGGATATAAATAGAATGGGAAAAAAAAAGCCACGGCAATCCAGTATCCACACAGATCTAATGTCTAGTCCTCAGAAGAAAAACAAAAAAGAAGTGAGTAAAAGCAAATTCAAGAAGCACAATTCTACAATTTCTGTATGAATTGGATTAAAAACTGCTGACTATTGCCAGTTAAGAAAAAAAAAATCTTTATAATTTTAAATTTTCAAAACCCCCAAAAGAAGTAGCATGAAACATGCATATATGATTAATTGGAAAATCCCAGTTTATCATGGATGAAACACAGCAATTCAACACTACCAAAAAGACATACATACACAATTGAGTGAAACTGGTGAAGGATCTAACTAAAGCATAATATTAAACAACCTCAAATAACCAGTATAAGAATTAAAATTAATGGATGAGGAGGAACATACTGTAGGTAGAGGTATCAATCTGCTCAGGAAGTTGCTTTATATCCACCTCAAACCTGGACTGAACCTGGAATACACAACAAACAAAATTAGTAATGCCAATTCACCCAGCATCGTTATTATGAATACCAATAGCAGCAAGAGAAAATTCCAACATGGAATTGTGGCAGAAGGCATTGCAGCAAATGGAGGACACATGATGGTCATGTCAAAATACCACTAAATATCCAAGACATTCATCCTATAAATAATAAAAATCTAGCTTATTTCCAGCTTGGCATGATGCTTCAGTTGCCATCACTCTAAAACAGGTATAGCAAGCAAGAAAAAGAAAAAAAATCCCTGGGCACGATACAGATGCTGGATATGCTAGGTATTAGGGACTTGAGGCTTGAGAATGTTGCTGGGATAAGGCTGGAAAGACTGAAAGAATGATGCAAGGTTAATGGGTAATGCACACTGGGTATTCTGCACAGCAGGTATTCATGGTGGATTCAGGGGTAGTTCATGGTTAAGAGAGTCAGCTGTTTGGGACTTTTAAGGCTTCTTGGTGTTAGGTGAGTTGGGTGATGGGTCATGAGAGGACTCTCTTATTTTCATGAAAACAGAGAGGATGAGACATGAAGCTGATAACTGAGACTAGAGAAGTCACCAGAGAACACAATTGCCAAAGACAGACGCACAGCATATGCAAGACAGAATGGTTCAATTCAATTAAATGGTTAAAGCTTGGTTCAGTTTCAAAACAATTTTTAGACAGAAACTCCAAAAAGGTACCCATCATCGCACGCCCATCAATAAACCCACAAAGCCTTAAATTGCAAGGCCTAAAAGGTAACCACCCTTCGCATCCTGGAAGATTTCCAAGGCGTCGTGGAATATGAAACAAATGTGATTGCAAGGCCTTTGGTGCCAAAAACTTCAAATAAATTGTGAGAAAAAAAATCAAGTTACATACATTGTTGAGAACATCAACATCAGTAGAGCATGAAACAAACGTAATTGCAAGGCCTTTGGTACCAAACCTTCCAGCTCGGCCAACCTGTTCAGAATTTCACCCAAAAAGACATGACAATTAGATGGCTCTGGACTAGAATATAGGGACAGGGACATATAGACTAGTTTTAACGATGAAATTAAACAGATAACATTAGCTAATCATACCCTGTGCAAGTATGTGTCTGCAGAATCAGGCATGTCATAGTTTATAACTATATTCACACGCTCAATGTCAATTCCCCTACCAACCAAATCGGTTGCAACAAGAATCCTTGTATGCCCCTCCTTAAAACTTTTGTATCGCTTTAACCTACAAAAGCCATTAATCAAAATCAGACACGATTTACCTGCACACATAAACATTTCATTTGCTACAAAATTTAGTATTAGTGAGACAAAAAGCAAGCAGAACACCCAATCAATCAATGCAGGGGAGAAAAAGGGCTACCATCAGTGAGCAACACAAACTGTAGCATAGTTGTTAGAACCACACAATTTGCAATTTAAATCGACACTATTCAGCAGGCCAATGATTTGTATCATGTGGTGAATCATAGGTGGCTTTGCATTATCACATGAATCAGCATAATTCTCATCACCAATTGATCCCATTATTCAAAGGGGACCCTAGAGGGATAAATTGCTTAATAAAAGGAATCATAGGCCCATTATGTTTTGCACCATTTTCTTGACTCTGTCTTACTCTGTTTTCATTTGAAGAAACAGAGAGGCCTACTGCGTGTTCACATTGCACACCAGTGCTCACGTAACAGACTAAGCACCTGACTCTGTCAGGTTATTCAGGTTCTTCACTTCCTCATTCTCTCCCCAACAACTAAATGTCATCTCTCCCCCCCTCATCAATTAAACACCTCTATATTTTGTCCTCCTCGTCATTCCTTTCAGTTGGAACTTCAAAAAATATTTGAAGACTATGGGGACACCATTGACAACGATCACCCCATTTTGTCGCCCAAATGGCCATATAAAGCCCCCTTCACCCTGGTGCTCCGCCAAGAACCGGAGGACGTGATCAGCAAACATTGAGGGAGCAGGCATTGAACTTGAAAAAGGCTTGTTTAAAACTGGGTGATGGTGGAATTCCTGAAGTAGTTGGAGATTTTGTAGTTGTTGGTGGAAAAGATTTCACATAAAGAAGGTGAAAGTCGCAGAAAGTTAATGGGTAGCACAGAAAGGTTAATAGTGAATTAATGATACATTAATGAGTTTTCCTTTTCCATTTTGTTCTTTGTCCGTGAATTAATGGTGATGTTGGTGAATTAATCGTGATGATAGTGCCTCCCCAGAGCTTGCCACATGGCAGCACAGCAATATTTTTTGGGTAGCACCATTTCCATGTAATGCCATGCAAGGTGCCATGTGGAATGCCCTTTTGCACGTGGCATGCCCGCATGTGCAAGACTGCCCCATTGTGGTAAAATGTTTTTTTTTTCTTTTTTGTAATTTTTTGAAGAAGTTTTTTTTTTAAATACCCCTATGGTTCTTTTCCCTCCACTGATATCACATACAAACCTTTCTTCCTGGGACATTCCAGAATGAATGCAAATAGATGGAAAGTTGCACTCCACTAGTAGTTTGTCCAGCTCAGCTGCTCTACTAACACTTTTCACAAAGATAACAACTTGATTGAAGTCCAGTGCATCAAGAAGATCATTCAACTTCCTGTTCTTCTCCTCCTCTTTCAATTTGATGTAGTGCTGCCATTTCAACAACCAATGTAAGCCATACAGCTCACAAATTATTTATGAAAAGATGAATTGAATAAAACAATGTAACTTGCAAAAGGCCCACCTGCACAAGACCGTGAAGGGTCAACTTCGCTTCGTCATCAACATAAATTTCCATTGGCTGAAAGGAACAATGTCACGGGAAATCATATTAGGAGCCTTCCTCAAGCTAATGGAATCCAGAATGAAATCAATGATGGATGCAGATCCCTTGAATCACAGTTCTTGTCCATCTATTTTGTCTCCTTGCAGATACTTTTTTTTTTGTCACGCTAAGCAAGTGACACTGACACTTGACACTCTAATAATACTGGCAGCAACATACCCTGAGTATTAACAACCCTCCCCCTCAAAAGTGAAAAATAGAGAATATCCTAATTTGTGAAAAGCCATATCAGATAGAGAGGCTATTAGAGACAAAACTAACTTCCAATGGGAAACAAAAGGGGAAAAGTATAGAATCAGAAGAGCTAGAGGCCTACAGCCACAGTCCGGGCTTTCCCAAAACATCCCCATCTAGATCTTCTAGCCCAAGCTACAGCCACCCAACCACACTCCACCATGCCAGGTATTTGTCTCCATAAAAACTGGCTGGAAAACAAAGGCACTATCTCTGAACCCCTATCATCAAAACTAAGTTTTGATGAAACCATGGCATTCTAAATATCTAAAATGCTCTCAGGGAATGCGGGCATTATGAAAAAAAGAGACTTCTAATACAAGTAGTACTGGCCATGGGACATTACATCTTGCATAAATTTCTTGCAGACTGGGCGAATTTCTTTGCTGAGTGTTGCAGAAAACATCATAACTTGCTTGTCGTGAGGAGTCATCTTGAAAATGTCTTGCACATCTTTCCTCATGTCTGCAGAAAACATAACGGGAACAATGAAAACCATATTGAAATCATAGAAAGTCCAAAGGTAAGATTCAAGTCATAATAATGACTGTTCAGAAATTAAACATACCCAGTGATTCCAGCATCTTATCACATTCATCTAAAATGAAATGCCTAACATTCTTCAAAGAAAGGTCCTTATCCCTAGCTAATGCTAGTATTCTTCCAGGTGTGCCAACAACAATATGTGGGCATTCATTTCTCAACAGATCCTTGTGAACTTTAATGTTGACGCCACCATAAAAAACAGCAACCTTGAGATCAGATAAGTAGGTGCTGAACCTCTCAAACTCATGGCATATCTACAGAAAGGCATTGCACAAACATCTTAAATCATAAGCTACTATAATACAAAGTCCCATAAGCTTTCATCTATTGAGCCCCAAATAAATACCTGGTATGCTAATTCCCTTGTATGACACAGAACAAGAGCAGAAACTTGGCCTGCAACAGGATCAATCTGCTGCAAAGTTGAGAGAACAAAGACAGCAGTTTTTCCCATTCCAGATTTAGCTTGACAAATTACATCCATTCCAAGGATTGCTTGAGGTATGCACTCATGTTGCACTAGTGATGAACCAAAGAAAATGGAGGTTGAAGGAACCGGTGGTAAGTAAAACAAACCTTTCTGACCCTTTACATTTGATTTGATATAGTTACCAAAGCATAAGAATTCTCCAAAACAAGATTAAAAGTATTACCTGTAAAAAAAATTTGAAAAAAGACACAAAGTTCAGTGAAACTGTGATTTTTATAAATAGCATCTTCATCAAACAAATATCATTGGAAGAAGGATAACTTGTCAGATATGTAATTTAAGCAATCTTGAAAACAGAAAGCAAATATATGGCACAGGACACATGAGGATACAAAATTTTTAAGAATTATCAGACATGACATGGTAATAGTCCAATATATACAATTAGTATAAAATTAATATAAGAACACAAATCTTAAATCAAAAGAGACTATCAATGTTTTAAAAGTTAACAGGACTCAGTGTAGGCATAATAAAATATTTTTTATCTAATTATCATGATATTTTCATCTGTATTGGTATAGAAGTTCAAAACATAAAAGTGAAAAATATAAAATGCAGCTAGGAGTGTATAAAGTATCCATGACATGCCCAACACGGATGCGTCTGCCACGGGTAACTACTATTTTGAAGTAGTTGTACTTCCTAGTATTATAACGAGGGTATATTAGCAAACCATTTTGAAAAATCCCCAAGCCCAATTTCTTTTGGGGTACTAGATCCTGTTAGAGCGTAGGTAAGACATCACTCTCGGATCCCCACTTGGGGGGAACAAAAAGGGAAGGGGAAGGGGAATGAGAATGAGAAAGGAACGTCCATTAAGGGGTGTTGATCTCCAAGCCCAACATTTATTAATAAACAATAAGACGGAAGTAAAGAAAAACATGTGTCAAACAATCTTATTGTAGACCTAAAAAAAGCTTTTGAAAATAATTCAAGCCATAATAATTAAACCCCTTGAGTTCCTAAATTATTACAGCAGCTACAACAACAATTACTACATATAAGGATGCAGATAATTTGCCTTCAGAAGGATGCTCAAATCCTGAGTCCACGATAGCCCGAAGAAGCTCCGGCTTCAGAAGAAAGTCTCGGAATCCTGAACTGTGAATCCCAACATAGCCCCTGCAAAAAAAAAAAAGGGAATATATACCATCAGAGGATAACAAAATATGACAAAAAATCCATTTTCATTCCACCCAACTTCTTCCAAGATCAAAACATCTGCCCATTTCCAAAAAAATTAATGTAAAACTATAGTGTTAAACATAGATCTTATATCACAAACAATTCAAAATTTCACATCATTCCCCCATAGTTTCCAAGTAATAATTCCTAGCTCTGCCATTTTCTCATATCATCAGAAAACAGTACAAGGTCTAGAAGCAAGAAACAACTTACTTCTTGGCAGCTTCACCGTTGACTTTAGTTCCGACGGAGTCAGGAGCCTTGTCTTCTTCCTCTTCGTAGTCAAGAAGCTCTTCCTCGTATCCTTCGTCCTTTGTTTCTCCCATAATCTGCGATTGACACGGTGTTAATTGAACCAGCGTTTCAAACAAATCATCAAAAACAAAGCTAGGGTTTATATATAAATACACACACATATATATATATATATAGAGAGAGAGAGAGAGAGTTCTAGGGTTTTTGAAGAGGAGGAGAATACCTGCTAGAAGAAGAATTCGAAGGAAGGTTACAGAGTGAGATATGGTAGGGTTAGGGTTCCGAAGAGTCTGCAAAGGAAATTTGTTAGCTGAAAAACAATTTTGGGGGAAAAGAAACTGAGAGAGTTGAACCTCCTCGACCAGAAAGGAAAAAGAGCGAGTGCGAGAGAGAGTGTGTGATATAGAAGAAAATTGTCTAGGGTACAAAATGTTGAAGGAGCCATTTTATAGGCACCAACCAACGGTTTAAAATTAATTGGTGTGACGTACTCATAGTATAAGCTTATATTATACGTTATGACATTTTCAGTTGTTTGGTGTGAGCATCATATAGTATAAGCTTATACAGCAGAACCCCTTAATACATCAAAATGATGTATAACTTAATCCGACCTAAGGAGGGTGGATTAGGCCTGATAAGGGGTTGATGTATTAATACTGATTACAAGTGCAATTTCCAAAAACTAATATATCATTTCAATATTAATATATTAAAATAATTTTTTTAAAGGGGAGGGATCATTTGACTCAAGAGTAAGACTTAAAAATCTTACTCTTCATCGCAGCCGTTGATTTCCGTTCATCTAACGCTTATAATTAATTGTTATAATTTATTAAATGATAACCATTAGATAAACGAAAATCAACGGCTGCGATGAGGAGTAAGACTTTTAAATCTTACTCTAGAGTCAAAATAACCCTCCCCTTTTTTAAAATATTGAAAGTTATTATCTTATACAATATCATACCAAACGCTGGATTGTATTAAAATTTAATCAGGTCTTATATTATCAAGTCTTATACTATCAAGCCTTATCATATACTATGCATCAAATATACCTTATATTTCGAGTAAAACATGTTTTCAGATAAAATATGTTTCAATTAATTAATTATATTATTAATTTGGCCACTTGAAATCAATATTATTAATTTCTTCAATTGGATTTAAATTAATACATAAATGGGTTTACATCTCTGCAGCTGATATACGTGCAGCAATCAAATACTTGTCATATATATATATGTGAATGCCTTAAATGTGGGGAATCATAACCATACAAAAGATGAAAGCATTAAATGTAGGGAATCATAACTATATACATATCGTCTATGAAGCACCGACACTTCAAAAATTCTGACGTGTCGTGTCTGACACTTCCCGACACTCCCCGACACTCTAACACGTGTTATAGAAATTCAAGAAAAAGTTCAAAGATTGTGTTGCGTTAAGTTTTTAGTTTCAACTATTAGATTCGTTGAATTTCGATTACCATTTTATTGAGTTTAATATAAATATTTGAGATATCTTATGTTTCTTTGCAAAATTGATAAATATTATAAGTTTAGTTTCATTTTTTTGTTAAATTATTGAATATTAAATATAATATACACTACATAAATTAAAAATATTATTTAATATCAAAACGTGTCCTAACGTGTCAAAATCTAACATTTTTTAAAATTAACGTGTCGGAGTGTCGTGTCGTATCGTGTCACGTGTCACGTGTCAGTATCGATGATACATAGCATATCGTTGTTGTACGTAAAGTGGCTGCAGAAATAATTTTACCATCTATTAAATAACACATATCAACAATTCACTTGAAAACAATCACGCTACCAACGGTGGCGGAGCCACGTATAGTGTGGGTATGGTATCAACCTGAGCTAAATTTTAACAAACTGTACTTATTATATATAATTATATAATTTTTTTTGGTAGAATATATAATTATATAATTAATTATAATTTAGTATGGGTTAAAATTGGAATTTGGCCCACGCTACAATTTGTAATTTGGCCTATCTAAAACTTAAAATATTTTTGGTGAAAGATTTGGATAAATTGAAATAGGTTATGTGTTCAATTTTCATTTGTATTAAAAAATATATACATATTTAGTAAAATTAAAAAATATTTAATAAAATTATAACTTTTTTTAGTGTTGTCTGCTCAGGTACTCTGTATTTAAATAATTTCAATATATTATACATGAATTAATTAAAATTAATAAAAATAAATACACATATAGGGTCTGTTTGGAACACTTGATAAAGAATATTGGATAGGATAACTTATCATATCCTACTTTTATCTCTTGTTTGGAGGGTCAATATGATACGATTATCTTATCCTATTGTCTTATTTTATCCTATCCAATACATGATTTCTTATCCTATGATGGGAGCTAGGTTAGGATTCAACATGATAGGATATCAATATTGGATACCCAATATATTCTCACGCTACCCAATATATCTCCATGCTACCCAATATATTTGTATTTACTGCATTATATTATATTATATTTTTCTCCTTTGTCCTTCTACATAATCTTATCAGATTGATAATCCGGTGCTCATCAAACACAAGACATGATATCGGCTTATCAGCTCCATATCATATCTGTCAAAACAATGGTGTCATATTATGAATATTTCTGTGTGTATATTCTTCCTCTACTGGGATAATTATATACATAAATGAGGACTCTAGGTCCATTACAAATTAGTTGTCAATAAGCTATGAATAAGAAAATGAAATAACATGTTATTATTTCTATTTAATACAAAACTCATATGATTATGTCAATCAACTGCAAATAAGAAAATTAATCTATTTAGTACAAATCTCCTATGATTATGTAATTGTGTAATCAATGATTAAAATTCCAACAACTGTACAACTCAGCAAATTTTATCTCATTTCAACACTCCCCCTCAAGTTGGTGCATAGATATCAATCATGCCCAATTTGTTAATTGCTTCTTCAAACACATTTCTTGATACAGCCTTTGTCAAGATGTCGGCTAACTGATCTTCAGATTTGATGTAGGGAAATTGAATAATTTTTTGATCTAGCTTTTCCTTGATAAAGTGTCTATCCACTTCTACATGCTTGGTTCTATCATGTTGAACTGGATTATGGGCAATTTCAATAGCAGCTTTATTATCACAATGTAACTTCATAGGCTGATTGTAGCAGATTCATAAGTCTTGTAGGATGCTTTTAATCCACAACAATTCACACACTCCATGTGCCATTCCTCTAAACTCTGATTCTGCACTCGATCTGGCCACAACTTTCTGCTTCTCACTCTTCCAAGTAACTAGATTGCCTTCAACAAAAGTAAAATATCCCGAAGTTGATTGTCTGGTAGTTTTATCTTCAGCCCAATCTGAAAATGTGTAGCCTTTGATTCCGGGACTATTATTTTTTTAGTAAAGCAGACCTTTCCCTGGACACCCTTTTTAAATACCTCAATATTCAATGCACAACAGCCATGTGATCCTCACTTGGATTGTGCATAAATCTGCTCACAACACTAACTGCGTAAGCAATGTCTGACCTAGTATGTGATAAATAAATTAGCCTCCTTACTAGCCTTTGATATCTTCCAACATCAGTCTGTACTTGATCAGGATAAAAACCCAAAACATGATTCATTTCAATTGGTGTTTTTGCTGGTTTACATGTTGTCATTCCTGTTTCTGCAAGTATATCTAAAATGTACTTTTTTGTGACAAAAAAATTCCCTGATTTGATCTAGCAATTTCAATTCCAATAAAGTACTTTAATGATCCTAGATCTTTCATTTCAGACTCATTTGCTAAATGTCTTTCCAATAACTCCATTTCAAATAAATCATCACCAGTCAAAACTATATCATCAACATACACTATTAACACTGTTACCTTTCCTCCATTATGTTTTATGAATAGGGTGTGGTCTGCATTACTTTGTTTGTATCCAAACTTCTTCATGACTAGAGAGAACCTGCCAAACCAAGCTCTAGGTGATTGCTTGAGGTCGTATAGTGCTTTTTTTAATCTACACACTTCATTTCCCTTCAAGTTGGCATGTTTGGCGCCTGATGGAATTTCCATATATACTTATTCTTCTAAGTCTCCATTTAAAAATGCATTCTTTACATCAAACTGCTTGAGTGGTCAGTCCCTGTTAGCTGCTATAGAAATCAGAATACGAATTGTGTTCAGTTTTGCTACTGGTGCAAATGTATCTTGGTAATCAACCCTGTATTTTTGTGTGTATCCCCTAGTAACTAATCTGGCTTTATATCTGTCAAGGTTGTCATCTGCTTTAAGCTTCACAGTAAACACCCATTTACATCTAATTGGTTTCTTCCCGGTTGGTAAAGGAATCAGGTCCTACGTTGAGTTTTTTTTGTAAGGCCTTCATTTCTACATTCATGGCTTCCTTCCAATTTGGATCATCCAAAGCATCCTGCACATTGTTAGGAACAAATATACTAGACAATTGATTAACAGATGCAATATATGATTCTGACAACCTATGATTGGACATGTAGTTACCGATAGGGTATTAGACCTTAGAGTTTGGATCTGGTTCATAAAGCTATTTTGGTACACCTTTATTTGGTCTTTGTGACACTCTAACAAGTAAGATGGGACCATTTATGCTAGTAATATAAGGTTCATTTGAAGAAATAGGAGTAAGATTAGTGTTTACCTCAGGTATGGATTCAGGAACATCCAGGGACGATGCCTCAGTTACAGGTGTTAAACGCGTAGCAAAATCATTCGTGGGAGGGGTATCATCTGGTCCAGGAGTGTGTTGAAGAGTTATAATTTCTTCTCCAGTAGTAGGTATCTCCCCCTGAGAAGAAGTAACAGAATCTCCCCCTGAATAATATGGTTCCAATTCTTGGAAAGACACGTCCATGGTCACATGCATTTTGTGGAGAACGGGATCATAACACCTGTAACCTTTTTGTACATTAGAGTAACCCACAAATACACATTTTTTAGCACAAGGATCCAATTTGTTTCATAATACCTTAGGGATATGGACATACACCGTGCACCCAAAAACACGAGGCTCAAGGTTGGGAATGTGAGGAATGGAGAAATAAGATTCCAGAGTCTGTTGTGGAGTTTTAAAGTGAAGGGTGTTGGATGGAGTACGGTTGATGAGGTAAGCAGCAGACACAACAACTTCACCTCAATATGTTTTAGGCAAATTCATACCAAAAAGGGAGGCACAAACCAGTTCTAGTAGTTGTCTATTTTTTCGTTCGGCTAGGCCGTTCTGTTGGGGTGAATAAGGGCAAGAGGTTTGGTGTCGGATCCCCTGTGTGCTCAAGAAATCAATAAAGCGGCCATCGAAATATTCCCTGCCATTATCAGATTGT